TAGAACTCAATATCACAATCAACAACCTAGACTTAACTGACATATATAGAATGTATCAACCATCATCAAGTGGATATACTTTTTTCTCAGCAGCACATGGATCCTCCTCAAAAATAGACCATATATTATGCCATAGGGCAACCCTCAGTAAATATACAGGGGTGGAGATAATACCATGCATTTTATCTGATCATAATGGAATGAAACTGGAAATCAATGATAAAAGACGGAAGGAAAAATCCTACATCACATGGAAAATGAACAATATGTTACTGAATGATCAATGGGTTACAGAAGACATAAAGGAAGAAATCAAAAAATTCTTAGAGATAAATGAAAATACAGACACAACATATCGGAATCTATGGGACACAATGAAAGCAGTTTTAAGACGGAAATTCATCGCTTGGAGGTCATTCCTCAAAAAAAGGAAAAACCAACAAATAAATGAGTTCACACTTCATCTCAAAGCCCTAGAAAAGGAAGAGCAAAACAACAGCAAATGTAGCAGAAGGCAAGAAATAATTAAAATCAGAGCGGAAATCAATGAAATTGAAACAAAAGAAACTATTGAAAAAATTAACAAAACTAAAAGTTGGTTCTTTGAAAAAATAAATAAGATCGACAGACCCTTAGCCATGCTAACGAAGAGAAAAAGAGAGAGAACTCAAATCACTAACATACGGGATGAAAAAGGCAATATCACAACAGACACTACAGAAATACAGAAGACAATTAGAAATTATTTTGAAAACCTATATTCCAATAAAATAGAAGATAGTGAAGACATTGATAAATTCCTTAAGTCATATGATTTGCCCAGACTGAGTCAGGAGGATACTCACAACTTAAACAGACCAATAACAATAGATGAAATAGAAGAAGCAATCAAAAGACTTCCAACCAAGAAAAGCCCAGGACCGGATGGGTATACAGCAGAGTTTTACAAAACCTTTAAGGAAGAATTAATACCAATACTTTTCAAGTTATTTCAGGAAATAGAAAAAGAAGGAGCTCTGCCAAATTCATTCTATGAGGCCAACATCACCCTGATTCCGAAACCAGACAAAGACACCTCAAAGAAAGAAAACTACAGACCAATATCTCTGATGAACATAGATGCAAAAATCCTCAATAAAATTCTGGCGAATCGGATACAAAGGCACATCAAAAAAATTGTGCACCATGATCAAGTAGGATTCATCCCTGGGATGCAAGGATGGTTCAATATACGGAAATCAATAAATGTTATTCACCACATCAATAGACTTAAAAATAAGAACCATATGATCATCTCAATAGACGCAGAAAAAGCATTCGACAAAGTACAGCATCCCTTTATGTTCAAAACATTAGAAAAACTAGGGATAACAGGAACTTACCTCGACATTGTAAAAGCTATCTATGCTAAGCCTCAGGCTAGCATCATTCTCAACGGAGAAAAATTGAAGGCATTCCCCCTAAAATCTGGAACAAGACAGGGATGCCCTCTATCACCACTTCTATTCAATATAGTTCTCGAAACACTGGCCAGAGCAATTAGACAGACGAAAGAAATTAAAGGCATAAAAATAGGAAAGGAAGAACTTAAATTATCACTATTTGCAGATGACATGATTCTATACCTAGAAGACCCAAAAGGGTCTACAAAAAAACTACTAGAACTAATAAATGAATTCAGCAAAGTGGCAGGATATAAAATCAACATGCATAAATCAAAGGCATTTCTGTATATCAGCGACAAAACTTCTGAAACGGAAATGAGGAAAAACACTCCATTCACAATATCCTCAAAAAAAATAAAATACTTGGGAATCAACCTAACAAAAGAGGTGAAAGATTTATATAATGAAAACTACAAAACCCTAAAAAGAGAAGTAGAAGAAGATCTTAGAAGATGGAAAAATATACCCTGTTCATGGATAGGCAGAACTAACATCATCAAAATGGCGATATTACCAAAAGTTCTCTATAGGTTTAATGCAATGCCAATCAAAATCCCAACGGCATTTCTTGTAGAAATGGATAAAGCAATCATGAAATTCATATGGAAAAATAAAAGACCCAGAATAGCAAAAGCAATTCTAAGCAGGAAGTGCGAATCAGGCGGTATAGCGATACCAGACTTAAAACTATATTACAGAGCAATAGTAACAAAAACAGCATGGTACTGGTACCAAAACAGGAGGGTGGACCAATGGTACAGAATAGAGGACACAGAGACTAATCCACAAAGCTACAACTATCTTATATTTGATAAAGGAGCTAAAAGCATGCAATGGAGGGAGGATAGCATCTTCAACAAATGGTGCTGGGAAAACTGGAAATCCATATGCAACAAAATGAAACTGAATCCCCTCCTCTCGCCATGCACAAAAGTTAACTCAAAGTGGATCAAGGAGCTAGTTATCAAATCAGAGACTCTGCGTCTGATAGAAGAAAAAGTTGGCTCCGATCTACATATTGTAGGGTCGGGCTCCAAATTCCTTAATAGGACACCCATAGCACAAAAGTTGATAACAAAAATCAACAAATGGGACTTACTTAAACTGAAAAGTTTTCTCTCAGCAAGAGAAACAATAAAAGAGGTAAATAGGGAGCCTACATCATGGGAACAAATTTTTACTCCTCACACTTCAGATAGAGCCCTAATATCCAGAGTATACAAAGAACTCAAAAAATTAAACAATAAGAAAACAAATAACCCAATCAACAAATGGGCCAAAGACCTGAACAGACACTTCTCAGAGGAGGACATACAATCAATCAACAAGTACATGAAAAAATGCTCACCATCTCTAGCAGTCAGAGAAATGCAAATCAAAACCACCCTAAGATACCATCTCACTCCAGTAAGATTGGCAGCCATTATGAAGTTAAACAACAACAAGTGCTGGAGAGGATGTGGGGAAAAGGGTACTCTTGTACATTGCTGGTGGGACTGCAATCTGGTGCGGCCAATCTGGAAAACAGTATGGAGACTCCTGGGAAAGCTGGGAATGGAACCACCATTTGACCCAGCTATTGCCCTTCTTGGACTTTTCCCTGAAGACCTTAAAAGAGCGTACTACAGGGATACTGCTACATCGATGTTCATAGCAGCACAATTCACAATTGCTAGACTGTGGAACCAACCCAGATGCCCTTCAATAGATGAATGGATAAAAAAAATGTGGCATTTATACACCATGGAGTATTACACAGCACTAAAAAATGACAAAATCATAGAATTTGCAGGGAAATGGATGGCACTAGAGCAGATTATGCTTAGTGAAGCTAGTCAATCCCTAAAAAACAAATACCAAATGTCTTCTTTGATATAATGAGAGCAACTAAGAACACAGCAGGGAGGAAGAGCAGGAAGAAAAGATTAACATTAAACAGATACATGAGGTGGGATGGAAAGGGAGAGCAAAGGAAAATTGCATGGTAATGGAGGGAAACCCTCATTGTTATACAAAATTACATATAAGAGGTTGTGAGGGAAATGGGAAAATAAACAAGGAGAGATATGAATTACAGTGGATGGGGTAGAGAGAGAAGATGGGAGGGGAGGGAGGGGGGATGGTAGAGGATAGGAAAGGTAGCAGAATACAACAGTTACTAATAGGGCATTATGTAAAAATGTGGATGTGTAACCGATGTGATTCTGCAATCTGTATTTGGGGTAAAATTGGGAGTTCATAACCAACTTGAATCTAATGTATGAAATATGATATGTCAAGAGCTTTATAATGTTTTGAACAACCAATAAAAAAAATTTAAAAAAAAAAGAACCAGTTTAACACAGAAACTAAAGTTAAAAGTTTCAAATCATGAAAAAACAGTACCCAAACCACACACTGCATGAGAAAATACAGTAAATAATTTATATTCACTATGTGCAGCTTTCATTTACAAATAGGGTTATTCTGCTGGTATAACAAAGAATTCATAAAACATTTTTGTAGAAATCAATACAAACTATTCAGTTTGATATTAAAAAAAAAAAATGGGATTCTACGAGAAGCCAAACCAGTTTTTTTCCCCAAATATCTCTGTTGAGATAACTCACACAATGTGTGCAAGCACCATCACCACAATCTAAACTTAGAACACTCTCATCACCCAAACATACCCCAAACCATTAGTGGTCACTTTCCATTCCTGCCCACCCACTTTACTCAGCCCCAAGCAACCACTCATCTACTTTCTGTCTTATGGGGTACTGTGTGGTAACCAGATACCTATACATGATGTGCAATGATGAAATCAGGATAATTAACATTTCCATCTCCTTAAATGTTTATCATTTCTGTGAATCAGAAAACTTCAAACTCCTTCTAAAGTTCTTTATAAAAATAGACAATTGTTGTGAATTATAGTCAGATTGTTGTGAATTATAGTCACCCTATTGGGCCATAGAGTATTAGAACTCATTCCTCCTATTTACTTCATACTTCTTGTTGCTAAATAAATCAGCAGATTTCCCTTACCTGTGGGGGATACACACTAAGACCCCCAGTAGATACCTGAAACCTCAAGAGTATGGAAGTCTATAATCCAATGCTGTTTCTACCATAAATAAGCACCTATCACCCACTGTGGTCATACCTTCTACAGTGTGAGATGTAGAACAAAACCAGCATGGATTTCTTTCTCTTCCTTCACAATGTGACAGATTTGTTCTTAGCATAGAGTTTAGCCACCTCTGCACATAATTTTTTTCTTTTCCTTAAGTCTATTACTTTTACCTTGCCTAAAAGGAAGACCTCCTTATTATTTCTTTTTGGCATATTAAAATTGCCAGTATCACTACTCTCGTGTTTGGGGGATATTATTAAGTAAAATAAGGACTTCTTAACTGCAAAAACACAAAACACTACTAAGGGACTACTGGACAGGTATCCTACACAGCATGGATAAGCTTGACAAAGGGATGTACAATATCAAGGGTGAATGGAGAGGGATGGTGTGCAGTTTATCATGTTATGCAGAAAGGGGCACAACTTAAAACTTACAAATTTCTGGAATTTCCCATTTAAGATTTTCAGGGTATAGTTGACTGTGGGTAACTGGAACTGTGGAAAGAAAAATCTTTGATAAGGAGGGACCGTTGTAATCCATTGAATGGGTAGAAAACATTGTGTGTGCCCATTCTTCAGTGGATGCACATTCGGGTTGTTTCCATCTTTTGGCTACTATAAACAATGCTACTGAAACATCCACATTCACATTTTTGTGTGAATGTGTTTTCATCCGTTTTGGATAAACCTAGAAGTGGAACTGCTGGGTCATGTGGTAACTCCATGCTTTCATAAGTTGAAGAACCACCAAATGGTTTTTCAAACTGATTGAACCATTTCACATTCTCAGAAGGAACAAATGAGGGTTTCAGATTCTTCACACCTCCTCAAAACTTGTAACTCCCTTTTTTGAGTTGTAGCCTTCCTGGTGGGCATCTCATTATGGTTTTGATTAGTACTACCCTAATGACTGATGATGCAGAGTATCTTCTCATGTGTTTTGCCAATGAGTGTATTTTCTTTGTAGAAACTTCTATTTGCATCCTTTCTCTTTAAAAAAAAAAGGGGGGGTCATCTTTTTATCGAGTTTTATTACTGAGTTTTAATTCTTTCACATACTCTAAATATAATCCCTTAGCAAATACCTGAAAGAATTTTCTCCCATTCTGTGGGTCATCCTTTTACTTTCTTGATGGTCCGGGTTTTTTTTGTGTGTGTGTGGTTTTTTTTTTTTGTAATGGGTGGGTAGGGGTTGTTTACTGGGGACTGAACTCCAGCACTCAACCACTGAGCCACATCCCCAGCCCTATTTTGCATTTTATTTAGAGACAGGGTCTCACTGAGTTGCTTAGCGCCCCACTATTACTGAAGCTGGCTTTGAACTTGTGATCCTCCTGACTCAGCCAGCTAAGCCACAGGTATTATAGGCATGCACCACTGTACCCAGCTTTGGTGGTATTTTTTGAAGCACAACTATTTTTAATTTTAATAAAGTCCAATTTGGCTACTTTTTTGTCACCTGTACTTTTGATGTCATAGTTAAGAAAGCTTTACCTAATCTAAGGTCATAATCATTTACTCATATACTAACTGTTTTAGTTCTTACATGTATATTTGAACCATTATAAGTTCATTTTTGTGTGTAGGATGAGGTAACAATTCAACCTCTTTTTTTTGCATGTGGCTTATGAGTGGGTCAGCACTATTTGTTGAATAAATATTATTTCTCCATTGAATTATCCTGGTACCCTTATCAAAAACTGACTGTAAAAGTGTTTATTTCTGAATTCTCAATTCTCTTCCACTAATCTATATATTTTAACCTTATGCCAGTACTATACTGTGATGAAGTGTGTTTTGAAATCAGAGAGTGTAAGTCTAACTTTCTTCTTTTCCAAAATTGCTGGCTATTCTGTGTTCTTTGCACTTTTATAAAAATTTTAGGATCAGCATGTCCATTTCTGCAAAAAGCAATGTGGAATTCTGATTGGGACTGCATTCAATCTGTAGATCAATTTGGGGAATACTGTCATCTTCACAATATTAAGGCTTCCAATCCATAAATATGAGATGTTTTTCTATCTATTTTAAGTCTCTAATTTCTCTCCATACTGTCATAGTTCTTAATATACAAGTCTTGCAATTCTTTTGTTAAATTTATTCCTAAGTATTTTTTTTTTGTTGGTGCTGTTAATGGAATTGATTTCTTAATTTCATTTTCAGACTGTTTCTGGCATATAAAATTATAATTGGTTTTAAAATATTGATCTTATATTCTATAATCTTGCTGAATTTAATTACTTTGAATAGATACTTTAGGACATGCTATAGATAGAGATAGTTTAACTCTTCTTTTCCAATCTGGATGCATTTTAATTTAGTTTCTTGTCTAACTACCCTGCTTAGAATCTCCAGTACAAAGTTGATTGGAATTGGCAAGAGTGAATGTCCTTATCTACTCATGATCTTAAAGCAACAGCATTTAGTCTTTCACAATTAAGTATAAAGTCAGCTATGGGTTTTCACAAATGTCCTTTATCAAGTTGAGGAAGTTTCCTTCCATGCTTAATTTATTGAGGGTTTTTATTTTATCAAGTACATTTTCTGCCTCTACTGGGATGACCACATGCTTTTTATCCTTTATTTTACTGATATGATATATTATATCAATTCATTTTCAAATGTTCAACCAACCTTGAATTTCTGGGAGAAATTCCACTTGTCATGCTATGTAATCTTTTTCATATTTTAATAGATTGGGTTTACTATAGCATTTTATTGAGGACTTTAGCATTTATATTCATTAAAGATATTGGTCAGTAGTTTTCTTGTGATGAGTCTGTGTATTTTTAATATCTGGATACTATCAGTCTCACAGAATGACTGTCACTTACTTTGAATAAAATTTACTGGAACATAATCATATCCAGTCATTTTAGTATTTTTTAGGGCTGCTTTCACACTACCAAGGGTAGAGCTGAGCAGCAATGAGAGAACCCATATGACCTGCAACAGCAAAAATAGTCACTATATAGCCCTTTACAAAAAAAAAAAAAGGACGCTGATACCTGATAAACACAAAAGGTCCATGTACAACATATATTTCTAAAACTAAATGCCAGACATAATGTAAGTGTACAGATCTGGCCTAACTTACCTCCTATCCAACAATGCTATCTGAGAGTCACTGATTTGGACTCCTGAATACCTAAATGACTTGAGAGAGTCATTTACATTCTCTATTGAAAGCTAAGGTTTCTTTAGTAACTCAACAACAGAATGAACACCATGAAATAGGATTCTTTTATCTTGTCTAAGATGTGAACTTTTATCATTTTTTGCTCACCTTTCCTACTTCTTTCTGTGGAGCAGAAATGTTGTTTTGATCTTCCATTTTATCCTCTTCATCATCAAACAAGCTAAGAACAGTTCTGGTTCTACCCTTGGTTCCTTTGTCTAATGAAGACGATGAAGAAAATAAATCAGAATTCTTGGCTGCATCCTGAGCAGATGTAGTCAAAAGTCCTTCCTGAAAATGGAAAAAGAAAAAGAAAAAAAATCAGTAACTGGGAATAAATATCCCACTTTGGGCCTCACAAGGTCCTTACTGATTCAATAACTAACTGCCACATTTACATGATTCAGAGCATGATAGCTAATTGTATCTACTCTCATGTGACAGAACACTGAGTGAGGTCAGTTCTCAATTATTGCTCAAATGAAATCCTGTAGAGATAATCTATAGTCAAAGGTAATTTTTCCAAACACTTTAAGACCATAAGTCCTGCCCCTCTGCTAGTAGATATACAGTTAGAACCCTGATGCACACAGGTTGATCATGAGTTAGAAAAGAACTTTTAAGTCACAGAAGCATCATATGTCAATCACTGGAAACAATCATGTGTTTTCTAATATTGAACTACTATGCCAGTCCCAAGGGGAAACATACTAAGCAAAACCAGACACTCAACTTGTAGAAGAAATACTCTGTGTATGCAATTAGGTTGATCACTAAAATAATCATAAAATGCAACACTTATTCATTGAAATAGTATCACAATTCAGGCAAGATAGCACTGATCATAAGAACTACTATTATGGGCTGGGTAGTTTGTGGCTCAGTGGTAGAGCGCTTGCCTAGCACGTGTGAGGCACTGGGTTCAATCCTCAGCACCACATAAAAATAAATAAGTTAAATAAAGGTATTGCATCCATCTACAACTAAAATAATTTGGGGAGCAGGGGTTACCAGGGATTAAACTCAGGGGTACTCGACCACTGAGCCACATCCCTAGCCCTATTTTGTATTTTATTAGAGACAGGGTCTCATTGAGTTGCTTAGAGTCTCACTAATTGCTGAGGCTGGCTTTGAACTCACAATCCTCCTGTCTCCACCTCCCAAGCCGCAAGAATTACAGGCATGCACCACCACACCTGGACTTAGAATAATAGTGGTTCTTTTTTAAAAATTATTTTATCATTTATGTACCACCAAGACAGAAAAACAATGCCGATTAAACATGCCATTGATCGTGAGGCATCCTAATTTCAGAGTGGCTAAACTGTGGAAAAACATGCTTCTTCGAAGAAATATGTATTTTATAAAATAGCACCTATCATGTGCAAGGTAACAGGCTATCAACATAATGGTGAACAAACAAACCCAGCCCCAATCCTCAAGTGAGGAAGAGGATAGCATAATAAGAATCAAGTATGCAATGGGTTAGGACCAGGTAATTCAGGTCTAAATGCAGCCACTGGGAAAAGAAGGTCACAGTGACATAGGTACAAATATACACTTGTATTACTATAGCTCCAAGGAGTCTCCATGAAAAAAGTAAATGTAATAATCTTCATACATTCCCTGGGAAGAGATATTAAACCTGAACACTTAGACCCACAAAGTTTAAGAAGATTTAGGAAAAAGATGAGATAAACAGAAACCAAAGGCAAGTACTGGTACTGAATTCCCCGATGTGGCCAGCAGCATTAGCCATAAGGCCTTTAGCAAGAGATGGCAAAAGCTGTTTGAGAAAACGTACACATTTGACTCTACTCTGTAATTCACAGCCAATATTAACCAGATGTAAAAGAATGAACTAAAATCTTCTCGCATCTTAACTCAATCGCAGGTGGGGAGTAGAGGAAAACTAATGGAACGAGGAACAGCACTTAGGAGAAGCCAAAAAGAGCACATATACAGAGAGAAAGGCAAAATGAAAAAACAAGAAAGATGTGGAAGAGAAATATGCAATGACATGAACATGTCAATAACAACACAGAACAGGAAGCCTGCACACCACTGTGTGCACGCATGTATCTAAAAAGGGAACAAAAATCAAGTGCCTACGGGTGGGGGTGGGGGTGGGAGCAGAGGCAGTCTTCTTCAAACTTTTCATTGTTTTCAAGTCTTCATACAAATGAGTCATTCATTTTCTATGGTGGAAAGATGATAAGGGTTTGTGTGTGTTACAATAACATAAGAGACACAAACACACTGGGAAACAAAAACAAAGGCTACCTTTCCTGCTGTCATAGCCGTGTCAATTTTCCCCGAGTCTGATGATGCTTTGGCACTCTCGACATTCTTATCTGTGGGTTTCACTCCAACTTGTGTCTTCTTCTCACCTTCATCACTGAACAGCAAAGGTGGCACCTCAGGGACAGTCTCTTTCTTCTGTCAAGAAAAGAGTAAAATTTGCAACAACAGCACCCAAAAAAATGTGCCTGACTAGTATGACAATGTACAGAAAGACCAAAACCGGTCCTCTTGGGACATAAGTGAACTATGAAAGGACAGTGCACAGAACAGTGGGGGAGGCACCAACAGAAGACAAGACAAACACTACTCTCTAGACTTTGGCCACAGCACTTCAGTTTCTGCTGCCATAAACATTTGTTTTGTCTCCTTTTCACCTCCTGTCAATCCCACCCTGTCCTCCCTTAAAAATAGACCTTGTGTGGGCTGGGGATGTGGCTCAAGCGGTAGCGCGCTCGCCTGGCATGCGTGCGGCCCGGGTTCGATCCTCAGCACCACATACAAACAAAGATGTTGTGTTCGCCGAAAACTAAAAAATAAATATTAAAATTCTCTGTGTCTGTCTGTCTGTCTCTCTCTCTCTCTCTTTAAAAAAAAAAAAATAGACCTTGTGGGCTGGGGATGTGGCTCAAGCGGTAACACGCTCACCTGGCATGCATGAGGCACTGGGTTCGATCCTCAGCACCACATAAAATAAAATAAAGATGTTGTGTCCACTGAAAACTAAAAAATAAATATTAAAAAAATTCTCTAAAAAAAAAATAGACCTTGCCATGATGCCAGGACAATTACTCTCTCTGTGCTTCCCTCCTCTTAACATTTCAACTCTTAAGCATCATCCAAAGCCATCCTACTAAAATAAAAATCCCTGCCCCACCTCCAAGCCCAAAACTGCACTTTTTGCATTAAGTAAATGGCAATCAACAGACACTCTAGTCTGTATCCCTCTCTTAATCTGTGCCTCCCCATTCCTCATCATCCCTTAAATTTACTGAAGACTTCTATACTTCCATACCATGTTCCCCTCTTGGCATGCAGAAGCAAATCCTCATATTTGCAGCAGGGTCCAGCTCACACATCACCCATGAAGGTTTTCCTGTTCTTCAGTAATCAGTTGCTTCATTGAATAAACATATTATTTCTCTATCTGGCATTTACTCTACTTTCTAATTGGTAATGTACATTTGTTCATTTGAAAGAACCATACATCATATTTCTATAGCTAGTTATGACATTTTTAAACTAAGTAGTTGCTCAAGTTTGCAAACCCTTTGGCTTGTCACTCATCTCTTCCTCCTCTGGAAGGCACAGATTTTTTAGAGATTAGGAACTAAAGTTTTGAGACTCACCTAGAGTTATCAACACCCTTGGGGCAAGTGAATTATCAACAGATTCTTAAGGAAAAAAACCATAACTCTATTATACTAACTAGATTAGATGCTATGAGAAAGTGAGGTTTGAAGCAAGGAATGTAGATATGGGAAACTAAGGGATGACATTATTATCCACATCAGAAAAAGAGTTATAAATGAAATTAAGAAAGGGATGATTTTCAGTTATTGTTAGGATGAGAACTTAAAATGCAAAATGATTTCAACTTGAAATAAAAGAAGACTGGAAGTTCACAAAAAAAAACTTTAAAAGAGATAAGTCAATACTAAAGGGATTAAAGAAAAAAAGTGTTATGAAATATGCTGGACTCACTAGAAACTATGCAAATTTCTGCAGCAAGTTGACTGGGAACAAAGAAGAGACTTAAGTAGGGCAGAATATTCTCCCTTCATATGACTCTGGTCTTTAAACTGAGGAACATGCCACTCACCATACTCGTTTTAAAGCTTCTTGCAGATAAGCTCACTCTTAATTCTCGTGATGAAATTTCTTGTCTTTTCTTTTTTGGTGCAGGGTCTCACAAATGCTAGGCAAGTGCTCTACCACTGAGCCAACATCCTCAGTTGAAATTTATTTTCTTGATATGCTTACAAACAACTTACATTTAACTTACTTTAAAATATTTTCTTTGGAGGAGGGACACCTATTTGCCTTTTCCTCCATATATACCCTAAGATCTCTAAACAAAAATAAAACAAACAAAAAATACATACGTCTTATCTACTATTGTCTAAAGGTAATTATATTTCACAAAGAGTAGAAAAATAGTGTGTAGGCTACTTAGCTTCTTAACATTCATGTCTTAAGCTTCTCCTTTTTTGTTTCCTTTGTGTGTGTGTGCACATGTATGATGCTAGTGATTGAACCTAGGGCTTTACTCATGCTAGGCATGCTCTCTATCACTGAGCTACATCCTCGCTCTTTTATTTATTTTGAGGGAGGGCCTTGAACTTGTACTCTTCCTACCTGAGCCTTTCAGGTAGCCAAGATTACAGGTGTGTGTAATCTTGATGAAGAACCTGTTACCACGTTAATTATAGGTGCCCTAATCCCTAGCTGCACAGTCCTAGGGACAGTGCTTCTCAGTTATGTTAATAGCCAATCAGTAAAAAGCAAGGAAATTCTTTCATGTGCTACATACAGCATGTGAACCTTGAGGACGTTATACTAAGTGTAATAAACAAGGTGAAGAAGAGTAGAGTAGTAGTAAGGCTAAGGCTCTGTGTCCAGTGATTCTTGATCTTTCAGGCCACTACAGCTCAGGCATAGGGGGTCTCGATAAAGCCTAGCCTAAGAAGTTCCAGATTTCCTTTTGGGGTTGTTAATCAGAAGTTGGTATTAAGACAGTGCTTGGTCTCACTTGTTCCTATGTGCAAATATGGTTAGCCAGAGAGAGAATGCTGGGGAGGAGTGCGATATGGCCTAGTGGCAAGATCCCAGTATGCCTTGGTTCCTGGACAAATACATCCTAATGGCACCTTCCTCTCTTTTTTTAATAGTCCTTTTTGATACAAAACTAACATCAAAGATGGCTAAACTTTTTAGTTCACATGATGGGAGTAATATCATTCAGAAGTAATCATTGAAAGGGTAGTTGGACCACATAGCCACTGATGGCTATTCTCCCCCCTTATCACAAAATTTAAAAAAAAAAAAACTTACATAAAACAAACAAACATATATTTTACCACCTTCCATTTTGAAGTATATAGATTTTAAGTGTATCCACACTGTTGTGCAACCAATCTGCAGAATTTTTTCATCATACAAAATTAAAACTCAATACCATTAAACAACTCCCCATTTCCCTCTCCCTTTAGTTCCTGAGAACTACCACTATACTTCCTATACCTTTGACTCTGACTACATCAGCAGTCCCATATAAGTAGAATCATACAGTATCTGGGGTTTGTGATTAGTTTATTACACTTAGCATAATATCCTCAAGGTTCACACATGTTGTATTTTTAGTACATGAAAGAATTTCCTTGCTTTTTACTCACTGGCTATTAACATAAACCAGGACCAAAGGGGTAGTTAGCACATAAAACATGTTCCCAAGAGGATAATTTATGCCTTGCTATAGTTTGGATCTGGAATGTTCCCTGAAGGACCATGTGTTAGAGGTTTAGTCCCCCACGTGGGACTTTTAAGAGAAGGGACCTAATAGAAGGAACTTAGGTCACCAGGGTGTGTCCCTGGAGGGGATACTGGGACTCCATTCCTTTCCTTTCTCTTTGCTTCCAGGGTGCCATGAAGTAAGCAGCTTCCTCTGCCTGTGCTCCTAACATCACGAACTTTGCTACCATGGTTCCAAATGTAACTGAGCCAACTGGTCATGGATTGACACATAAGCCCAAACAAACCTTCCCTCCTTATAAGTTCATTATCTTGGATGTTTTTGTCACAATGAAAGCAACTTGACTAACCCATGCCTTAACTGGCCTAGTCCAACGTTTGCAGAACTCCATGCCACTGGACTCTGTCTCCCTTGGCAGTTTCTTATCCCCACTCTTGACTGAACAGACTACATGACACGGAGGAATCCTTTTCTTTAGGCTTTGCACATGTGCTCCACCTGGAGAATACCACTAATCAAAAAAGCTCTTTTTAAACTAGGTAAACAAGTTCTTCCCTAAGACTCAATCTCCAAAGTCAGATTTTCAGAGCTGACTCAGGGTAGTATTACTATTTATGCTATTTCCTGGGTCTATGAGATTAAGAATACCGTTGCTGCAGGAGGAACAGATGCAGGAGGAGAGCCAAATAGAGAGCTTCCACTATCAGCGTCATCTTCAAAGAGGAGTGATGCTCTCTGGGTCTTCTTTTGACTATATGAACAAACAAAAGGTCAAACTCAAGGCAAAAGTAATTTAAAAACAAAAATAATAAGCCATACCTAAAGCAACCCACCTATCATCTTCTATTGATCTTACACAGTTGAAAGCAAATAAGAAAAACTTTTAAATAGGAGAAATTTGTCCCTAGCTAGTAACCTATGAAGAAGAATCACTTAAGTAGAAGAGTCCAGGGTCCTTGTCACTAGTCCCTTGTCAGTTACTTTCAGTCAGTGTAGGTGCATTAGCTATTAGCTCTGCAAGCACCTGATGCCTTGGCATTCACAGATGTAGCGTTCCCCTCACCAGCAGAGGAAGAACCAGAGAATTCAGATATGCCTTCTTCCAAGGACAGGAAGACAGGTGCTTAGACAGAACACAGGGCCACAGCCAGCTTTGGGAAGTGGCCTTGTGATCTACCTTCTACTTCTTTTTTCATAGTAGCTTTAAGGAGACATAATTTACATACCATAAAATTAACCCCCATAAAGTACACACATCAGTGGATTTTCATATTTTCACTGTGCAACTATCATCACAATCTTAGCGTACATCTTTATCATCCAAAAAAAGAAAGTCCATGTCACTCACCAGTCCCTTCTCCCCACAAACCCTGGCAGCTACCATTCTATGTTCTATCTCTCTGGAGTTACCTACTCTAGACATTTCATAGAAATGGAATCATAGTCTCTCTCTTTCTGGTCTTTTATGACTGGCTTCTTTCAGTTAACCTAACATTTTCTAGTTTCATCCAAAGCCTAGTATGTATCATTACTTTATTCCTTGTAATTCATGAATAAATAATGCATGGTTATGCAACATTTTGTTTATTCATCTGATGATGAATATCCAGGTTGTTTTTACTTTTGGGCTACTATGAACAATGCTACAATAAACATTCATATAAGCTTCTGTATGAATATACATTTTTCACTTCTCTTAGGTATACACCTAGGAATGAATTTATTGGATCATATGGTTAACTCTATGTTTAACATTTTGAGGAAGTGCTAAACTGTTTTCCAAACTGGCTGAACCATTTTACATTCCCACCAGCAGTATATGAGGTTTATAATTCTTCTACATCCTCACCTACACTTATTGTCTATAAAACTTTCTTCTGAAATCTGATGAAAGCTATGCATTACTTCCCACATATAAAATTTTATAGACAACCTTAGGAACAACTGAAGATGGAATGAGTCTAGGGCACAGACAGCACTACTGAAAACCAGATAATGTACGTGGCAGTCAGTCATCAGAATTTATAAACGAGATGTTCAGTTTATGACTATGATCAGATTATGACTATGAATGTGTCCGGGGGCATGCTGATAATATAGGTAACTTCCCCCAAAGTACACGGAACACTCAACTGCAGTGGAGTGTTCATGAAGGTAGAGCTGTGTCTGCTCTCCACTCTTTACCCTATTCCTTCTCTTTCTTATCTGTTCAGGTCAGGGAAGGCTTCTTAAGAGAGGACTTATACTACCTCTTAAAAGAAGCTGGCCAGGAAAAAAAAAAAAAGGAAGAATAGTGTCCCAGGAGAAACAGCATCGGAAAGAAAGGAATGAAACACATCCCCTGCATTTATCATGATGAATGACAATGTCTAAGTGTTGGCAACATACCAGCTATTGGGCTCAGCATTTTGGATTTGGGTTTCATTTAATCATCTCAACAACTCTATAAGAAATGAGGAAACTAAGGTACAGATAAATTAGATAAATTTGCCCAAGGTTATTCAAATAGGAGATGGCAAGGCCAGAATTTAACATCAGGTATTGGGATTCTAGAGCCTATATTCTGAACCAGAAGCCAAAGAGGTCAAGACATGGGAGCCTAAAGCAGAGAATGGTGAAATCTGAAGAGAAGACAGTATTTGGAGATAGAAATATGAGGTACTTTTATTTTTATTTTTAAAATTTTTCAAATTTTTAGTTGTAGATGGACACCTCTACAACTTTTATTTATTTTTAGTTGGTGCTGAGGATCAAACCCAGTGTCTCACACATGGTAGGTGAGCGCTCTACCACTGAGCCTGAGTTATTTTTAAATCCAATGAAGCATAATCACACTAAGGTACGGGATTGACAGGTCCAATCAATTGCCCCTTTATGCTACTACTAGTCAGATTAATTTCAAATTAATCATTTAAAGTTTTCAAGAGAAAAAAGTATTATTGGTGAGAGTTATTTTGAACCCACAGTGAATCAGGCAGCATGTTACATCAACACAGCCCATGTTTATTCTAAGTTTCTTGCCAGCTTCAGTTTAAGTGTCAATGTGGACAGTCACTCAGGGCGGGTAGGACTCCCGAAACCTGGTAGGATACTAGAGCTCTGCAGAGAACTATCCCCTTAACAGGATGTTTTTCAGTGCAAAGTGACTTCTATAGAAATGACAAACTTTTAAGTAACCTTGACCAAACTATACAATCTTTAGGATAGCCCTGAGAAAAAACAAAACAAATACAAAATTTAAACCCTTGACAAACTAAGAAAAAGAATATTTCACAGTTTAAAAAAAAAAAATGACAGATAAAATCAAGTAAGGATCCAAGACAAACATTTCTCAGTATTGAGGAAGAAGACCTTGCCTATGAAAGGCAAGGACATTTGCATTTGCACTTGTGTTGGGACTAGGAGGTGCCAACCATTAGCAGTGGAAACAATGACCATCTTGGGCGCTGAAAATCTTTCCTCACTGCTACACACACTGAGTAAATAATTTCTTACAATGGCCATCTCACCTGTCCTTGGCAATAGCAAATAGATCATCTTCATCATCCTCTTCAAAGAGACTCGTTTTTTTCACCACCTTGGCCTCCTGGCCCTGGTTGGTTCCTGAGTCCCAGAGTTCTCCTTTGGACCTGCTGTCAGATGCTGACTTGGTCTGTGAATCAGTAATATTCCACTGGTCCTTAAAACATAAAACACATTATTAAAAATCCTCCCTGAGGTTGAGGCACAGCTCAACGGTAGATACTTGCCTATCCTAGAGAAAACTCAGAACGAACAGATTTTGCCAAATGCTCCCCAGCTTATTACCACTAGTTCATACCTCTTTTGTCCAATCATGCTTCTCTAAACTAAGCATGTCTTCCTCAGACTTAGCATGTTTTCCTGTTTCTCTGAGCCTTCATTTCTGATGGCTTCCAAAGAAGCCTAAAACTTACCTTAAATAACGTGTATGCTTTTCCTTTGTTGATTTGTCTTTTGGTACAGGGCCTCAGACATGAACCTTGTGATGCGTGAGAAATCTTTACTTCTCTACATGGCCTAACTCATCTGAATTAGCATGTATTATAATTTATGGGCCACACTTATTCTCACCATTTTGAACAGTAATCTTTAATTCACTGTATTGGACATATTAAATATCTTTAAGAAAAGACACAACCTTATAAACATTATTTTTTGGTAAATGATCTTCACTAAGTATGAAACAGGGGTAGTAGGTTAAAAAAAAAAAAACAATGTTTGGGTTAGCTATGATTTCTTAAATCCCCTCAGATACTATCTTCTTCCTCCTCTTCAGGCAAAATCTTAACCCACCTCTTCATCACTGCTGAACAACAAAGTAGATGCTTTCTTTTTGGACTGCTCCAAGGGTTTTACTTTCTCTTGACTCTGAGTTTGTAGAGATGATGTCTGCTTTGTAGCAGCTGGAACCACAAAAAGATTATCCTAGAAATAAAAATGGTGGAGAGGTATGATAGCTTCATACACATAAAACAGAAAATGTAAAGTTGTTCTCCCATGTCAAAGGGAGTTAAGTCTCCATCGATAACAGAAAATAACATATCTGGGGGGGGAAAAATCATTGACTGCTAGTAGATCCCACTCCACAGGAGCCTTTCTAACTACATTCTCTACCCATGGAAGGGAAACAGATTACCACTGAACTTGAAGACAGAATACTAGGAAGGAGCAGGGGAAAGACAACTTGAGGATAAGGTGGTAGGAGGGGAAACTGAGGCCCATTCAGTGCCCCCACCTGGTGGGGGTTAAAGTTTGGTTTGTTTCCCTTCTTATGTGGGCATGAGAGTCCCAGGAGCAGTCAGTCAGCAACTCACACCTCTTTTTATGAATTAGAAACTAGAGCAAAGGATAAAAAGAGAGAACAAAGAGACTTTCTCCATTCTTTTTTTTTTTTTTAAAGAGAGAGAGAGAGAGAGAGAATTTTTTAATATTTATTTTTCAGTTTTTGGCGGACACAACATCATTGTTTGTATGTGGTGTTGAGGATCGAACCCAGGCCTCACGCATGCCAGGCGAGCACGCTACAAAAAAAAAAAAAAAAAAAAAAACCCAAATCTAGGAAAGAGGATGGAATAACTTGTGTTTCAGGTCAATTTTTTTAAAAAGAATACAAAGTTAAGAAATAGTTAAATTCCTGACATCCTAAGGGTTGACGATTATGAGTTCAATGGCATTTGTAAATTACTTTGTAATCAAGTATCCAAAAGTATCTCTTCTTAAAGTCATGGAACAAAACTGTCAGAAGGTCCCAGACTGGGTTAGATTGGAAAAACCTTTAACAGCATGGTACAGCAGGAGGACCATCCCGAACCATAAAAATCAATGAAGGGAGCATTTACGGAGAATGTGGTAAAGTAGGACAGGTCATGAGAATCATGATCTGGCATCAAATGGGAAAACTAACGACAAAAGTGAACACTCATATTACTTACTCTGTTCTAGAAACTGTGCAAGGGTTTTACATTTGTTACTTTAGTTCTCACAACAATCCCATTTACCTATAAGCCATACAAGATCACAGAAAGTTGAGTTACTTGCTGAAGGTCCCTCGTGTTAAATGATGGGAGCTAGGTCTGAGGCGACAACCAATGAGCTTATCCACTGCATGATACTGCGTAAGGGTTAAAGTTTGGTTTGTTTCCCTTCTTATTTTTATCCACCACTCTGATCTCCCCATTCAGGTGGGAGTGAAAGGCTAAGTGGGGACATGGTCATTCTTTTTCCACTTTGTCCAAGACATTCTCGCACATCCTTGAGTATAACACAGATTCACTCTCTGAACAGTATTTCTCAAATGCAGAGTCTAAAAAATGAAATCTACTGAGCTTTCCTTAAGAATTAGGCTGGGAGTTGGGGATGTAGCTCAGTCACAGAGTGCTTGCCTAGCACATGAAAGGCCTTGTGTTCAACCCCTATCACCAAAAAATAACTAAACCCAACAAACAAAAACCACTTGGTTCAGGAGTTTAACATCCTCCTCAATGTATAGCTGGGAAAACTTAATGAGTTTCCCTAGACTCATTATTGTTTCATGAGTTGCAGGAAGCATGACTGCTTTCCCATCACCTCTCTACTACATGAGCCTCTGGCTATAAAGCCACATTAACAACAACTTCCCACTCATCTAAAAGTTAATTATCTAGTGCTGCAATAACAATATTTACCTCTTCATCTTCATCATCGAAAAGGGAGACTGACGTGGGTAGTTTGTTGGGCAGGAGAGATGCACCTTTGGACTTACTTGCATTTTGAGAAGAAAATAAATCCTGTCAGATCAAGAGTGAAGTTGCTGATTAGTTGGGTATATCAGTTCAATACAAAACACTAAAGATTAGAACATGGTGGTTGCCATGCATCTAGGTTGAAAGGGAGAGGGTAGGTGGCTAAAACAATCTTTAAAGAGCTTCAGAGTCTGCCCCGTTTGTGCGTGGCACAAATGCCTGATGTTTTAGAGGACAGCCACAGGACTCTCGGGACTTCTGTGTTCCTACCTAAATGATATAAAGCAGAAAGACATTTTCTAATCAATGTCCTATCAAAAAAATTATTTTAAAAAGCTTCTTTTTTCTATCTAAAGAATCAGAGACAATCACACAAATTCAATAATGGAAACAGAGGCTAGATTCCCAAATTACTAAATCTATGATTGTCCCATTATTCACACCTCTCTCCCCTAAGATCATAATGTTATTTTCTTTAAATAATACAACCTAAGTTTCTATTTAAAACCATTTGCTATTCTTCTTAGCCACAGCTATAAGCTCTTGCAAACCAGAAAGACCTCCAAGATTCTGAAGAAATCATCAGAATAATAATGTGTTAATACGTTGGCTTGGACTGCTAAGAAAGCTCTGTGAACTGAGCCACGTGAAATTAGAAATGAGTTATTTGAGAAGAATTCTTCTCAATACAGTGGTTTTCACCTGGGTTCCATGGAGTCCCACCTTTATATGCAGGTTTATAAAAAGGTGTTCTGATGTTTTCAGAAAATGAAAGCAATCCAAACCAAAGAGTAAAAACCAATTTTTACATCATAATTTCGGACCTTTCTTGGTATTAGAGAAAAAAAGATATTTCAATTACCTCAAACATGTCCCCCAAAATGACTTCCTAGGACAGGCTTCAGCTCCATACTCGAGAAATAAAAGAATCATGCCTTCTGCTTCAATGCTTTATTTCCCCTTGTTTTACTTTTTCTTGCCTAAGAATCCCAACAACATCCAATAAAATCATTCATTGTATGATGATACAAACAGGGCAAAGCCTTTGGTGGTGATTTTTTTTTAAATTTCTGGTTCCCTGACACTGCCACCATCGAGAAATAGGGACTATGCCCCTGCCATTTATTCTGGGTGGGCCTTTCTGACTGTCTCAAACAACAAACAGATGCAACATATGGAACACTTGATCCCAAGGCTGGGTTACAAAAGGCAATAATACAGGCTCTTCCCAGCTCTCTCTCTCTCTCTCTCAAGAATCTCACTTGGAACTCTGAATCACCACATAAAAGACTCAGCTTCCTTGAAGCTGTCATGCTAGGAGACCACTTGGGAATAGAGAGAGGGCCCAAGGAATCTTTCCCACCCAGGCACCAGACACATGAGTGGGATGATTCTTTGTCCATCCTCCCTCAGATATAAAAGACCCTCAGTGACAACTGCCAAGCTGAGCTCAGTCAACCTCTAGTTCCATAAGAGACAATAAAACTTGATGTTTGAAAGCACAAAATTGTGATTTGTTTCATAACGCTAATAACCAGAACACTTAGTAATTTCAGGCTTTTCCCTAAAATTAACTCAACATTTGTTTCTTCCATGGACTTAATAATTAATGAACAGTAAGTAATACCAAGCATTAGTACCAGAGGTAGCATGTCAAGTATATAAGCAGGGAACAAAATGTTGTGGAGCTTAAACTAATTTGGGGTAGAGACAATGAACAATAAATACACATGGTCCCCTGGCAACACATGCTATGAATAACAGAAGAGAGGAGAGGAGAAGGAGCACAGTGTGGTGCATGCCAACAACCTCGTCCTCTGTAGGGCCATCAGTTGAGGCCTCAGAAGACCTGAAGGAGTAAGAAAGTAAACCAACGAGCTTCTGAGGAGAGCCTTCCAGTGGGGCAGGAGCCAGTGCAAAGACCCTAAGATGTGAGTATAGCCCCAATGGGTGACAAACATGGAGTAACTCAGAGTGTGGGCCCTTCTGCATGGTGTCTTGATGGCTAGAAATCTGGCTAACCTGGACTTTAGCTAATTCCTATCTCTGTGCATGAGCCTTCAATGAAATGCAAACCTCAAAGGTGTTATTTACATCAAGCACAATCAGTCCACCTCCAAAGAGTTATGTATTCATCCTGGCTTTGAGCACAAAATCTAACCTTGAGAGCTGAACCTAGAGTCCACAGTTTCTTGAAATTACATGTAAATTTCTGCCATGTCCGTATATTTTTCTGTGAAGGGAACTTACTACTTCCCTTTATATTCTTGTATGGGTCTCCATCCCAAAAGGTCAGCCCAAAATCACTTCTGAAAGGACTAGGTGTGAGGGAGTCAGAAAAAGCAGTGCAGCTTCTGACAGCCCACAGGGACCAAGGCTACCCACAACCTGTGACTAGCCATAAGAAGACCAAATAAATGTCTCTATAGCATCAACCCCACTATCCAGTTAGCAAGACTATCAAAAGAGGAAGCAGCAGATTGCTTTCCATTCTGCTAAGAATGCCTCAGGATGTATACCAAAAAAAACAGCCTAAAATCAGAGCATCCTAAGACAGTTCTTTCCTCCCAGGAGATGAAATGGATTCAATACCAAAAGTAAGAAGTATTGCATACATACTGCTTTCTAAGGACCATGTATTTTTAAGACATTTGTTTCAAAGAAAGAAGTGAACTACTAAAGTCCTATGCCTCAAGGAACTGAACAACAACAAAAAAATATGATCAGTCAACAAATATATGAAAAAAATGTTCAATATCACTAGCAATTAGACAAATAAAAATTAAAACTACACTGAAATTTCATCTCACTCCAGTCAAAATGGCAAGTATCAAGAATACAAGTAACAACAAATGTTGGCGAGGGTATGGGGAAATGGGTATGCTCATACATTGCTGGTGAGACTGCAAATCGGAGTAACCACTCTGGAAAGCAGTATGGCAATGCCTCAGAAAATTTAGAATAGAACCACCATTTGACCCAGTTATCCCACTCCTAGGTTTATACCCAAAAGGACTTAAAATCAGAATATTATAGTGACATGGCCACATCAACGTTTATAGCAGCTCAATTCACAATAGCTAAGCTAAGGAACCATCCTAGGTGCCCTTCAACAGATGAATGGATAAAGAAAATGTGGTACACATTCACAATGGAATATTACTCACCATAAAGAAGAATGAAATTATGGCATTTGCTGGTAAGTGAATGGAACTGGAGACTATCGTGCTAAATAAAATAAGCCAATCCCAAAAAACCAAAAGTTGGATGTTCTCTCTGATATGTGAATGCTGACTCACAATAGGCAGGGGTGGGGGATAGGGAGGGGTAGGGGGTTGTCCAGAAGGACTGGACAGCGGGGAAGGGGGAAAGGGAAGGAGGTTAGGACTGGGAAAGACAGTAGAATGAACTGGACATAACTTTTCTACACTTATGTATGAATACACGACCAGTAACTCCACAAAAATGGGAGGTTATACTCCATGTATGTATGATATGTCAAAATACATTCTACTATCATGTATAACTAAAAAGAACAAATTTAAAAGAAAGTAAAGACTAATTTGGAAACAATTTCTAATCTCACATTCACACATGATCAAGTAAGAGAATTCCATACCTCAGAGTCCTCCTCATCCGAAAATAAACCTTTCTGAGTCTTTGTTTCTGACAAGAACTTGAGATTTTTGCTAGAAGGTACTGTAACCTTTGTGAGGGAAAAAAAGAAAAAATGAGGATTAGTAAGTAACATGCCTGAAAATTAGAGTATACCTAATCATTCATTCAGAAAACATGCTAAATCTCTTCTATGAGAAGGCCCCAAGTCATGAACCTTGGGAATAAAGATGCTGTGGACTTTGGGTGTGTACAAAGTTCACACAATTAATACAAAGAGAGAATTTTCAAGCAAAATAATTTAAAAATTAGTTTAAGTTAGGAAAGAGGAAAGAAACAATTCCTTGAGAAAGTAAATTCCCAAAATGAACAAGGCCCAGACATAGTGAGACAGTATAAGCAAGAGCATTCCAGACAGAGGACACTGAGAAAAGCAAGATAGAGCAAAAAGCATATCTGGTGCAGCAGGGAGCAGGACACACTTCCCATGCCATGCAATTCACAGAGGGGACATGTGCAATCAGAGATACCTAGAAAGGCAGGCTACCCAAGGGGCCACCATGTTCTGAATGCAGGGACTCTGGTGGCAGGAAGAGAAGTCAGGTTTCATAGTAAGGTCATAACACACTGAGATGACTTAGGAAACATGGGGGTGCAAGCTGTGCAGAACAGTGGGAGAAGGAAGCAGCTAAAGGAGCTTCAAGACTGATGAGGACGCAGTCACTGGCCAGACACAGGTCAATTTGAGAATCAACAAAAATGACAATGATGGGAGTGGGCAATAACATGTGGTATAAAGTATACCCACTCCCAAAATAACACTAAAAGTGGGGGGAAGGATGAGGAGAAACTTCTATTCGAAAGAATGTCAGCTAGTAAGGATAGATGAAATGCAGAATTAGACATTTTTTCATATTCCTTACAGGATAAATGGTTCAGGAAAAGATCACCAGTGGATATTAAAACCACTGCATGCAAGGCTGGTAGAAGACAGGAGATTCATAGTGTCGAAACATCACTTAGACATCAGTCTATAAATGACAGAAGAAATGAAGGCACCTTTCCAGTGGAGCAGTGTGGTTAGCACCTTTATTTATTTATTTAGGTACTGGGGATTAAACCCAGGGGCATTTAACAACTGAGCCACATCCCCAACCTTTTTTTGTATTATATTCAGTGACAGGGTCTCACTGAGTTGCTTAGGGCCTCACCAAGTTGCTGAGGCTAACTTTGAACTTGCCATCCACCTGCCTCAGCCTCCAGAGCTTCTGGGATTACAGGTAAACATCACCACTCCTGGAAGTTAGCACCACTTTAACCAAGTGATCAAACAAACTGTCACAAAGACCACAGTAGGCTCGAGGCATCTTGGAGGTGAGGCAGCGGACACTTTGCCTGCCTATATTTTTGCCAAAAATGCAAATCTAAACCTAATTTAATTAAAGTAAAATGATCAGGGAAATTCACATTGTTATACATTCAACAAGACAACTGGCTGGCCATAAAAAAAGAAAAACACAGGAGGCATTGCTTTAATTTTGTTAAAAAAAAAAAAAAAAGTGCTTTTTAAAAAAAACATTTTTGAGACAAGAAAAAGAATTAGAATATGGACTATACGTAAGAGAATTTCATGTCAGTTATTCTTTTTTTTGTCAGGTATGATTTTACAAAGACATGTTGGGACAAATGGGAGAAATCAGAATGTAGACTAGATATTATATTCCACTAAAGCACTTATATTAATCTCATAACTGTTAATGGCCTTTGATTACACAGAAATCCTTTAAAGAGATGTTTTACATTTAGGGGTAAAATGTCATAATGACTATAACCTACTTAAAAGCAGTTCAGGAAAAAACTGTATAGAAAGGTTCAGATGCATATAATATTGGGCAAAATCCTAACAATTGTAGGTATGTGGGTGCTCTAATTCTTCAAACTGCTTCAACACAAACATAAAAGGGAACAATACTTCCCTCTGGGCTTCAGATGAATTAGTAAACTGTCTCTGATCAACATTCCTTATTTTCCCTCCTGCTCACCGTTTTTTCTGCCCTTGCTTTGTTTTCATCTGTCTGATTCACAGTAGCTTCTGGCAAAGCTGCTGCTTTTTCTTTGAACAGATCTCCTTCTTCATCATCGAAGATACTGGCAGTGGATTTGGTGGATTTGACTTTTTCTTTAAAAAAGATACCACAGCATAAAATGACACTAGCATCAAAATCCTATCATAATATTCACAAATTAAAAAAAAAAAAGTCTTTCCCTTCAAAGGATATACAAAAAAAGTCATGCTATTTCTTATATGTAGTTACCTTGGTAATTTTCTTCATCCATCTTCCCCCCCCCCCTCCTCTTTCTTGTTTTTTTTTTTTTTTTTGCTAGGGAAGTGCTCCACCACTGAGCTACCACCCCAGTCCCATTGCCTTGGTATTTCTCAAAGAGCACAACAGTAGCACAAATGAAACCCTAGGCAGTTAGTTTAACCATCCAAAAGAGAAGCCTGAAGAAAGAAACATCATTTAAATAAGTCACCAAGTCCACACCATTCTAAGAATCTACTTTTTAAAAATACAACTATACAGAAACAGATAAAAACAAACCCTGAAATGCCCCCAGAACTCTACCTGCCCACCCAAACAAGACAGACATCAGAAATAGTTTGGAATATGTGCTGCTAAATTCCCAAAAGTTAATATAATAACTTTAGATATTAACAAGACTATAAATGAATTATAAGACAATCTGAGCAATGTGCCCTACCTTCTGCATTTGCCACTTAATGTACCTAGAAAATCTTCCCAAGTCCACTTGTACAAACCTTGTTCTCTGAACTCCACTTAACGGAACAACCACAGCTTACACTACTGGGTGGTTTCCAACCTTTCATTCCCATGAGCACTGTTGCACTGAATGAGGCATGGGTCACTGAAATGAGGGTACTGACTCATAAGTGTCCTGACAGTCATCTGTCAAGGAATGTGGCAACAACTTTTTTGTGATGCCAAACCAGTTCTCAAAGATGTCCACTGAGTGAGGGACCTCAGACTATTGTCATTTCATTAACTGTCATTTCAGGCTGTGGGTCTGAGTGTGTTATGCACCTGCCTGCCCTCTTTCTAAAAGAGCTAGACTATCATTTCTCCTCATGTTTTTGCTTCTATCCCTACTTCCTACACCTAACACTGGAAAAGAAGAGTTAGTCCAGATGGTCTGCTTCAAAATACATTCTGAACTCATCTATTCCTTATACCACCCTTTCTTTTTTCAAATTGTTAAAAGTATGTACACCTTAGTCATCTTTCTTTTCTGGCAAAGCCATTGAATCCTGCTCCTCCAAGTGTGACCTACAGAGTAGTGAACTCTGCCTACCAGGGAACTTGTTGGAAATGTAGATTCTCTCAGGCCCCATCTTAAGACCCATTCATTCAAAAACTTCACTTTAACAAAAGCCCCTGGGACATTAATCTGTACATTAATGAACAAACAACTTAAGAGGAAAGACTTTATGAACACACTTATTTAAATCTGGAAGAAGAAAAGGGAGAACCAAAGTAGACAAAGAGCTAAAGTCCTGTTATTCTTGGATACTTGAGTTTTTAGCAGAGAAGAGAAACTGGGACTAAATGACTAGTGTACAATACTCTGTTCATATAATTTACTAAAGGTTGCTGGAAGAACATATAATTAAAACTTAGTAATTCCAAAGGTCAGAATTATAATTTTTTAGCAGAAATTATAGGGGAAAAGATTTCAGCTCTGAATAAGAAGGACAATAATTAGTTTCTGGAGCAGAAAAGATTGGTCAATTAAACAGAGACCTCCAAGTTTGCACAACTTTTTTAAGTATAGATGAGACAATCACAAAAACACTTGAGAAGAGATTCTGGAACTGAAGACACACAGAACTAGGGAGCTATGTCCTTTTTAGGTCAACATTCTTTTTCTAACTTCAGAAACAGGTACCTGTCTTGGAAGGTTTGCTGCAGGATGCTGCAAAAAAGTCATCTTCATCATCATCATCATCATCGAAGAGGCCAGCAGGAGCTGGGAGGTGTGAGGTCTTCCCTGGAGTGGGCTGCTCAGGTTTCTGGGACTCCTTCAGTGATGGAGCAGAGGTGGCCCCAAATACATCAGTGTCCCCTGGGGGTGGAAAGACAAGACAGCCACAACTGAGAGCCAGGGGAGCCTCCTGAAGAAAACCAATACTATCTATCAAGAAGTATTAGCTTCAGTTTATACACAAAACATAAAGAAAGACAAATAACCTCTATTTCTTACTGCTTGGGATCATACCACAATGCAGAATGACCTGGACAAACACACAAAAAAGTCCAAGGCCACAGATTGTTTTGTTTTTGTTGTTTTGGTGTGGTGCTCGGGATCATGTGCATGCTATGCAAGCACTCTACCACTGAGCTATCCCCTCAATCCCCCAGGCGACTGATTCTAAGAGAATATGAGCTAACGTCAGAAAACAACCTCTTTCAACATGCTATTCAATGCCCTCTGAAGCTTCCAGGTACCTCTTATTCTCCAGTCATGCCCTAGAAAATCACAGCTTAAAAAAAAATGACAAAACATTAATTGTATACTTATTTAAAAAACAAACACCATGTTACCTAAAAACACAGACACAGCTCCTGCTGGGATTTTCTTTCCAGGTTTGGTGGATGAAGACTCTAGATAAAGAAAGGGACAATCACTTCACAAATAAAATAACTTTCCTAACTGTTAAACTCACCTTTCCTGAATCATGCGCAACATGACACATACCTAAATAGGAAACCTGTTGAAACTAATTTTTCCAAAGTAAACCATTTAAAAATTCTTGGGTATTTTTCTTCTCTAACAATGCCAAGAGTTCTCCCTGAGGATTGATATAGTCCAGCTGTAATTTCTGGGGATTGTCATATGTCTACAGTCAAACAGCAGTAGTGGGGACAACTAGGGGAGGCATGGACAAAGCAACCAGGTCCCACAAAATAATTCTAACTCTACCTATTCCAGCTTGATGAGCTGAACAAGTAAAAAGGAATAGTACAAAGTGTGAGACATCAATGAAAAAAAGTGAAGACAATAACAGCAAAGAAGAAAATGACATAAGTCAGTCATCAGGAGATAAAAGGTGGAAAACAGAACCCAAAGGACAGTGAGCTGATGTCAGGATTCCAACCCTGAGGAAATGTTGTCTGGAAGATCAAGTTGCTTAAAACAACTAATTCCCAAGAACTACCTCAAATCTAATAAAACTACAGGTATAAAAAAAATTATAAACTTTTCAAAAACTCAAAACATGGGCTGGGGATATAGCTCAGTATTAGAACACTTGTCTAGCATGTGGAGGCCTGGGTTCAATCTCCAGTATTTAAAAAAAAAAAAAAAAAGAAACCCACTCTACACAGATGATTCTGATGCACAAGAGCTGGGGAATTATTGATGGCCAACTTATATGCAGAATATTAAAAGCACTTCTTTGAATTTAACTTCTTTAAGTTAAAGATATCATAAACACTACTACAGAGTACTTTTTCTTTTTGTAAATTCTCTCCCAAGAAAAAGGCAAATCTGCACTTTAGTTTACAGATATAGTGTTTTTTCTAAGAAATGAATGAGTGAAATCAAACTGTTTTCAACTGGGCCAAGAAAAAAACAACAGCTTTCAGCTCAACAAAGAAACAACTTTGGGCATTTCATCTCCTTACAGGAAAGAAACAGTTGTGAAACCCCCACAAGGAAAACGCAGAGTAGGTCCAACCCCAGCTTACCTTCATTAACGGGGGCTTGGGGTTGCTGATCCCGGGGGACTTCCCTGAAGAGGTCACTCTAGTTGTAGTAGGTATGTGACAAAGAATTTTAAAATGTAAAGGTAATTATAGCTGCATTTAAAGATTTCTAAGGAAAAGTACCCTGTAATTCAAAGCTATATATGTACTATTCTGACAGAAAATCAGTCATCAAGTGAAGACTATTGCAAAATAGAACCTTAAGTAATTTGGGCCTGCTCAGGAATTAAATACAAAGATCAAATAAGGTAAGAAATAATCACCTATCTGACCAAGTAAATCCTTCACTATTAATACTCACTCTCACATTCTCTCCTCACCTACCAAAGGACAGTAGGAAATAGTATTTCTCACTCTATGATTCTGAAATATGTCCCAAAATAGGAAAATAGAAGGAACTTCCAAATGAAAAGCTATTTTTCTCCTACTAAAAGAACAAAGTATATTTCTTCCTTGTGAACCCATGACAAACAGCTATAGGAAACATTACTGAGTACTGCTCACAAACCTCCTCCTCATCATCATCATCAACTCACCTCCTCATCATCATCAAAAAGTCCTTGTCCTCCACTGAACAGTCCGCCTCTAGAACCAAATGGTGAGAAGTCTTCATCTGTCAACTTGGGGGCTGCAAATAAGCTATCTTCTTCATCTAGCAAGCAGAAATGTTGTGCAAGAAGAGTTAAAGTGTGTTTGGAACCCAAATTCCTGGGGCTGCCTCTACAACATCCACAACACTGGAATGGAATTTAATCATATCTAACCAGGAGTAGCTGAAGGCACACTTGCAGATTTCATACAAAAACCTATTAAACAGTTCACTGAGTCCCTCAAAAGGGTCTTGGGGCTCTCATTCTCAAGTTGGTAAATGTCCAGAGCACAGTCAATTCTTCAGGAAATCCTCCTAGACACATTTACTTTGAAGTGAGAACACAGCTCAATTGTCACATTCAAGACCCATCTCCCCAAGAATCTAGGGGAAAAGCAGGCTGAAGAAAGAGATCTACAGATGGACATAGCAACAAGATGAACATACATAATGGACATTACTATAAAATACAAAAGGGCCTGCTATAGTCTTTACTGAAAATGCTAGCAAACAGTTAGGTAATGGCCTCTATAAAAATTTAATAATTCAAATGTTTACAGACATTTTGCTCCACATCCACCCGTCACCTCAGGATCCCAAAACATGATCTTTGATTGTTTTTGGTTTTTGTTTTTAATATTTTTTTTTTACTTGTAGTTGGACACAATACCTTTATTTCATTTATTTATTTTTATGTGGTGCTAAGGATTGAACCCAGGGCCTCACACATGCTAGGCGAGCATACTACTGCTGAGCCACAACCCCAGCCCTAAGTAGTTTTGAAAAAGAATTCACTTGTCAGCATCTAAAGCAACACTTTATAAATGATATATAAACAATATTCCTGAGTCAAAAAGGCTCCTTAAATAATCAAATTGAGGGAAAGGCCTACCATCCGAAGGTGTTCTCCTTTCCTTCTTCTCTTTTAATGTCTTCCGGGATTTTGCCTCTCCTATGGATAAGATTTGAATATTTCTATTTTAATAAGACATAGCCCATCCTTAGTTTTTATGTGTGTATTTTTTCTCTCTACATACTATATGATATTCACTCTCTCTGTCTATATGTCTGTCATCCTCATGACTCAGGCTAAAGACAGACATTCAACTTCATATCTCAGCTCCAATGGAGCACTTAACCCAACGCCTTATACAAAAGAAGGTATTCAAGAGAGTCATCTTTGTATGCCAAAAGGTTGCTGCTTATATGCCAAGATCATCTTCATATCAGGACCATACTTTTTCAAGAAATCATTCTGATATCTATCCTATTAAATAACTACAATATACTATATAGTGTATTTTCTTATTTAGTCAATATATAGGAGTAAACATTTAGTCAGGAACTCAATCTGGTGCTCACAGTCCTCTGGAGTACCCATTAACTCCCTGGAATTGCCTGTAAAATCTTATATACAAATGCACATGTTCATTTTTCTTCCAGGGTTCACAGTGTTCCATTATCAAAAGCCGTTTTTGAATCAAAAACAGAATAAGAACTACAATGTAATTTGAAAGGGAACTCCACCCTCAGAGAAGTCAGCAGAGGCTCCCACACGTTATTTACCACCCCCATTAACTATCCTCTGAGGCTCACCTATTTGCTCCTCTTCTAGTCGATTAGAGGCATCCCCTTTGATCCTGGCTGCCAGCTCATCGGCAAATGATGTAGGTCTTTTCTATGGACAGAAGAGAACAAAAGAATTACTATTGGGGCTGGGGATGTGGCTCAAGCGGTAGCGCGCTCGCCTGGCATGCGTGCGGCCCGGGTTCGATCCTCAGCACCACATACAAACAAAGATGTTGTGTCCGCCGAAAACTAAAAAATAAATATTAAAATTCTCTCTCTCCCTCCCTCTCTCACTCTATCTAAAAAAAAAAAAAAAGAATTACTATTATAATAGACAGATAACTTTTGGTCACCACAAAATTACACATATCAACACATGCAAAGAAACTGTATCAAAGAAAAAACTAGATGAATTTAACTAGATGAATTTAAACATATGCACACTATGGAGATAACGCAAAGAACGTGATTCATAATAGTGTTCCTTCAAAAGGATATATGTGCTCTTTATTACCTTATTTTTTTACTAGCACACTTTAATACCTGAAAAATCTAAACAAGAAAATTATCATAAGGTGCTTGGTAGATGACGAAAGAGCTTTAAGTCTTAAAACTATAAAACTGAATGTATTCTGAATGATCTGAGCTGTAAAATTGTAACATTGAAAGAAGATGACAATTGTATGGCAAGTGGGGATGCTCACCATTGTTTTCACCAAAGTGTAAATGCAATTACAAATATGACACAAAAGATGACTACAAATGTAAGTGAGTATATAAGGACTGAGTCATAGGCACCATTTCTAAAATCTGGCCAAGTGACAGCAGCTACAGTCTTTCTTACTAGTCTAGTATTTTCTTCAATATCTTCAATGTCTTCCTCTTCCTTCTCAGAGTCAGCAAAAAGGTCACCATCCTCCTCTTCCTCTTCATCACTCATTTGTGCAGTGTTCTGAGTGTAAAAGACCAGATTTGAACTATTAGTCACAAATCATCAGGCTCAAAAACAGATATTCTCGTGGCTAGGGTTGTGGCTCAGCCTTAGAGCACCTGCCTAGTACGTGTGGGACCCTCAGTTCAATCCTCAGCATCACATATAAATAAATAAAGGTACTGTGTCCACCTGTAACTAAAAACATTGAAAAAAAAAGAGACAGAGAGATACTGTCACTTAGTTTTGCATTTGTCCCTTCACAAAGGGAATAACTAATAGATATATTGATAATAATGATAGCAATGTAGCAAACAAACAATGAAGCAGAAAGTATATGTGGCAGAACAAATAATACACAAGGATTAATTAGAATAAAAATAAAGAAATTACTTTTTTGGAGGGGGACAATACTGGGAATTAAATCCAAGGACACTTTTCCACTAAGCTACATCCCCCCAGCATTTTAATTTATTTTATGACAGGGTATCACTAAGATACCCAGGCATACCTTGAACTTGCTATCCTTCTACCTGCTGAGTAGCTGGGATTACAGGTGTGTGCCAACATGCCTAGCTAGAACTTACTCTTTCATCTTTCAATAAGGATGTAATAGCAAGAACATACAACTGAAATATGAAATATTCAAGAAGTTCATCACAAGAGAAATAAATAAAACAATGTCTTATTTTAATAAAAACACTAGGTAAGAATAAAAAGAAATAAACTGTAACAACTAAAGAGCCATCCAAGTAGACCAAGTAAAAAAGTGGAGAATGACAAATCCAGCCTAATACCCTGCCCCACTCTACTGTATCATTTCTAAGAATTCAAATGTATTTGCAGAATACATTCCATTATAAAAGCAATGGAAAAGACTTAGAAAGGCACACTGCCAGATCATAATATCAGCTGCCTCTGAGGAGTATGAGAAGACAATGATGGTGGGCTTAAATACAACCTTATTTGTTGAATTCTAATTTTTAATTTTTCCAAAGGTACCTAGTATGTCTAATTTGTACAATCTTTAAAAAGTTTTTTTGTTGTTGTTGTTTTCTTTTACTGTTTAAGTCACTAAGAGAATTGTCAGCACTATGCCAAAAGGATTTTATTACCTAATTTAATCCTTAAAACCGTGAGGTTAGCTATGGCACACAAAACCAGTCTAACTCAATAAAAACAGATGGGAATTCAGTGTTTTTTAAACACTGTATTGTACTGTTTGAAAAACTGTTTGTATTTATAAATATTAACAGCAAATTTCATAGAAAAAAAATATCTTCTGACATTAGACTGCTTATTAAAACTATAGAGACCAACCATATTTCTGAATACAACCTGGAAAACAGAAGTACCAATCAATAAGTACAAAATGCTTCATTAGATTTCCCTTACCAGGTGTCAACCTACTTTACATACAGAGATATGAAAAATTGTGGTGTATGTGTAATAAGAATTGTAATGCAAAAAAAGTACATGCATAAAGACATGAATTGGTGTGAACATACTTTATATACAAAGATATGAAAAATTGTGCTCTATGTGTGTAATAAGAATTGTAATGCATTCTGCTGTCGTGTATTTAAAAAAATTTAAAAAAAAAAAAAGATTTCCCTTACTACCATATATCAGCATGTTTAAAAACATAGAAGAGGCTGGAGATAAAGTTTAGTAGTAGAGCAATATGGATATGTGTGAAGTTCAATCCCCACTACTGGAAAACACAAACACACACACACAAGTAAGTTTACAAAGAAAATTACAAAGACTATTCAAAATGACAAGGAAAAGCCGGGCACGGAGGTGCATGCCTGTAATCCTAGCAACTTGGGAGGCTGAGGCAGGAGGATCAGGAGTTCAAAGTCAGCCTCAGCAAAAGTGGGCACTAAGCAACTCAGTGGGATCCTGCTCTAAATAAAACACAAAATAGTCTGGGGATGTGGCTCAAAGGTGGAGGGCCCCTGAGTTCAATCCCTGGTACTCCCCACAAAAGTCTGACAAGGAAAACATATTGACATAAAAGAACAAATAATAAAATATGCATGTGACAAAAAGAACATGCCCTTTGATAGATAAACAAAAATTAAGATAACTGTGCTAAGACAGTAGGAACAATTATATTCATCTTGTGATCATTAATGTCTCAAGATTTTAAAATGAGAAGAGGACTCATAGTTCAGTTTGGATAATGGGGTATACTTTTTATAGGATCTTTTTCAAAATTTCTTATTTTTTTTCCTTAAGGAAAATGAAATCATAAAGCAAAATTGGGAAAAAATACAAAGGGAGTAGTTAGCATAAATACAAAGGAAAATTAGTTGTAAAACATGAAAAAAATCCTCACTTTGTCATAAATGTTTCAAAAGTAATTTTAGTATATATGCAACACTTCAATTAAAATTTAGAAGTAAATATCATGCAGATGTATAAATATCCCACCATTACAAATAATTACAGTGCACCAATAAAAGAATTATTAAAAAAACAGAAATAAAGTCACTTCAATACATGAGCCTTACCTGGTTTTGATCATTGTCACTATGATTGGCAAAATCATCATCAGACTCCTAGCGGGGGGAAAAATAACTTTGTTGTTTACAAAGGCTTTACTTAGAAGCACAGAAATGATTTCAGGTCGAAGACTGGGGAAAGTTTAGCAGAGGAAAAGCTCTGACACTTAATCTCTCATACTGACTACTTGCCACCTTAAGTATCAAGATGTAAACAGGTGGATAGTTGACAATTATTATGAAAGGTCCTATCAGCTAATGTAATTTTTGTGGCCAGTGAAATACCTCTAAACATTTGTTCTTGGCATCTGTACTTTACATTCTAACCTTTGGATTCAAAGTAAGAGCTACACATTTAATTGACTAAATTTTCAAAAGCTGGTGTGTTATTTTACATTTTGGATCCACTTTCTATACTCCCTCTAGGTAGAATAACTACTTCATCAGGACCAAGAAGGGAACATAAACAATTTAGTAAAGAGCTGTATCAACAGGTTAAAAAAAAAAAAAAATTCAGAGAATAACTATCTATTGTAGCAAGGCTGCTTAAAGAAAAGTCACTTCTTACTGCTAGAGAAGGCAGGATGGATGAGAAGACAAGAATGTGCAAACAAAATGGTGTCCTTTTGGAAATCTGATACTAAGGACCAGCCTTCAAAATTTCTCTGCCCTTTGCAATAATGAATACTCCATCTAAGAATAACTCAAGACTCTAGACACTAGATCAGGGAGTCAGACTACATGCTATAAATACAAAAATGCTAGAGAATGCTTTAAAGCATCCTTTCATCTAGAAAGTTTTGTAGTTAAAACATGTTAAATGTAGATTTTTTTTCTGCTAGGATTATTCAGAAAAAAATACATTCAAAGACTTTATCGTAAGTGGAGATTTCACCAAAATATCTAAGCTGCCTCCTCAAAATAAATGGGAAGAAAATGGATTTGGCAAGGTGGGAGGGAAAGTAAGGGTAAAAGAGATTCAAGCAGTGCTGTTTCTAACACAAGACAAAAAGAAAATCTAACACCAAGGATAAAACTTCAGAGTATGGACGGGCATGGTGGTACACACCTACAGTAACAGATACTCAGGAGGCTGACGCAGGAAAATCATTTGCACAAAAGGGTTCGAGACCAGTGTAGGCAAGCATAGCCAGACTAGTCACAAAAAAAGAACAAAACAAACAAACACACAAAAAACAGATCACCACCAATTCACAAAAATGTTTTGTACTTAGCTGGCTAAGCACATCCTAAGTTTCATGCTTACCGTGACCCAATCATAGCAAACAGTGTTTACCTCTTCTTTCTCTTCTTCACTGTCCACAATACTGCCACGATCGCTGCCTACAGAACCCTCTGTTGAGAAGAAGATAAGGGTTAGCACTAACATGCATAAGAAAATGTCCTTAATGTCCTTCCTCAAAATCACAAACAATAGCATGAAAGCTATCTATACCTACTAAATGTAATTAAAATTATCTTTATTACATTAAGAATAGAAAATGTGTACAGTCTCAAAGTATCTTACCACAAAAAAGAAAAAAAATATTCATAAACTGGCTGGTATTCTTCAAAGGTGTCAAGGTCATGAAAAGCAAAGCTGAGCAAATGTATCAGACTAAAAGATGACTAGAGAGATTTGACAACTAAATGCTGTAGGAAATCCTGGATTGAGGCCTGGACCAGAAAAAGATGGTAAAAGATATCAACGGACAAATGGCAAAATCTAACTATGACTGAAGATTAGGTAACAGTATTATGTTCAATAAAACTTTCTGATTTTGGTCATTATACTAGAGCTACATAAAAGAATGTCCTTGTACTCAGAAAACAGAGAGAAACATTTAGGAATAATAGGGCACAACGTCTCTAGTAGGTTCAGGAAAAAAAAAAGTGGAGATTTTATATATATATATATATAGAGAGAGAGAGAGAGAGAGAGAGAGAGAGAGAGCGCACACGCAAGATCAAACAAATGTGGTAGCTCTTTCGCTTCGCTCCGGGTGGAGAAGCTGAATGTGTAATCAGCAGTGGATTGTAAGTACCCGAGGCAAAGAAAGCTCAGTGCGCCCCGCCTTTTTTTTTTTTTTCTTTTTTTTTTTGAATATTTTTTATACAGGGAGAGTTTGTGGATTGGGATTGCTGGCGGGGCTGTGGTTTCTGTGCCGAAAATCCACTCCGCGGGAGCCGCCATTTGCTTTCTGCTTGCCGTCTTGATGGCTCTGTATACACTGTCCGGCAGCCGCACCTAGAGGTTGGAGCTGGGCTGCGTGCCGAGCCCTGTCCTCCGAAGGCTGGACTGCAGCCTCGAGCGTCTCTGTGGCCTGTTCGCCGCTGCACCTTCGGGCAGAGCCTGCTCTGGGGTCGTTCTGCACCCCCCTGCCAGGGGACCCGTGCTCCGGAGGAGGGGGACGGAGAGCCGCGGCGGCAGCCGCTTGGGCCCCTGGGGCCTGGCACCGGGCTGAAGAGCTGCGGAGGCCAGGGCGGCTCTGCTACGGTCGCAGACAAGCGCGGACGCTCGTCAGCGCGGCCCAGAGTTTCATTTCTAGAAATCTGGACTGGAAACAGAAGCAGCAGTTTGTATAATCCCAAGAACTTGCTTATACCAGGAAGCTGTAAGGGCAACATGAATATCACTGAGGAGATGTAACATGGTGGCAGGCGCAGAGAGATCAAGTCTCTGACATCTTCAACTGCGCGGGCATAGGGAGCCGTAAACTGTCTAAATGCTGTTTGCTCAGGATCACTAGGCAATGCTGAGCTGACGTGGATCTGGGGTGTACAGGCTGGGCCCCTCAGAACACACACACAGAGCCCGAATCGGAGGCAATTAAGCTCCGGTTCGCCTGCTTCGTGTGACTCAGCACTAACGATCCCGCTGAAATAATTGGTCGGCCCTTAGGAACTTACAGAGGTAAAAGCCAACCGAGCCTTCATAGGCAGTGGCCACAGGACTGAAACGGGGATTGGGAGAGACAGTCAGGACCCACCCGTTGCATTGGTCATCCGGCAAAGGGAACAAACGGTCACCATTTGCATGGGATATCACCATGGCAGAGAAATGGCGTCACGGGCGGAGGAGATAACTGCATTGAAACCAGCGCGACAGGTGTGTAATCCCCTAGCCATCTCTCTCCACACAGCGGGGAAACCTTAAGGGCCACTCCCAGCTCTCCTGTGAACGCAATAACCAGACCGAGGGAATCAGGAGTGGCGCGGGACTCGCGGCGCGGAACTCCCGGCTACCGCTCCCACCAGTGCTGACAACTGAGGTCTCTTGCACCAGCTACCGGGGGCGTGGCTACAGGAGGGCAAGCAAATTCGCTGGGGGATCTCAGCCCCAAGCTCTACAAACTTAGGGTCTGAGGGAGGCAAACAGGGAGAGTGAGCCCAGGTGTTCATGAAAACAGGGCTCCCAGGAGCAGCAGACCTGGCGTGTAGCCAGTATTGTGGTAAGCGCCACAGGTGAGCACGGCCTGGCTTGAGGAAACACAAGACAAGGCCCTAGACACTCAGGATTGGAGACCCGCCCAGTCTAGGAGAAAGAGCTGCTGCACAGTGAATGGTTCCCACCTATTGAGAGGAGAAGCTTGGCCCAGTGGGCACAGCTCCACCTACTGGAAGAGAAGTTAATAGAACTCTAGGACTGCATTTATTATTATTATCATTTTTTTTCTTTTCTTTTTCTTTTTTTTCTTCTTTTTCTTTCATTTTCAATTTTTATTTGTTGTTGTTCTTTAATTTTTTTTCAATGTTTCTATTTTTTAAATTTTTTTTATTTTATTATTTTTTTTTTTAATTTTAATTTTCATTTTTTATTATCACTATTATTTTTGTTAAAATTTTTTTTTCGTCTTTTCTTTCTTTCTTTATTATCTAATCTTTGTTATTCTTGTTTCTTTTGTCTTTTCATTTCTTTTCAATCTTCTTATTCCCCCTTCCTTGAATTGTACCTGCCTACTCTCATTCTCTTTAGTGACTTCTTCCCTTCCCTTCTAATATCTTTCCTCTCAAGCATCAAATAAATCTATAAGAGTAAACAGTAACTCAGCAGTCAAACAGAACAAGAAGTAACATGAGCAGCATAAAAAAGCAAGGAAGAAAAGGAGTACAAACAATGAAGGACAGCCTAAATATTCAGGAGGACCTAGAGTCAGCAGAAAAATGGTCATATAAAGAACTCAAGGAACACCTTAGACAGATGGAATGGAACCTTAAAGAGGATACGAGACAGCAAATCCAAACAGTGAAAGAACACTTTGAAAATGAATTACATAGACAGATAAAAGAAGAAGTTAAGCATCTTTATCAGGAGATTGAGATTATAAAAAAAACCAAACAATAATTCTAGAAATGAAGGAAACGATAAACCAAATTAAAAACTCAATTGAGAGTATCACTAACAGAGTGGAGCAAGTAGAAGCCAGAACATCAGATAATGAAGACAAAATATTTCATCTTGAAAAGAGCCTAGCCAACTCAGAAAGGCTGGTTAAAAACCACGAGAAAAACATCCAAGAGATATGGGATAACATAAAGAAACCAAACCTACGAGTCATCGGGATAGAAGAAGGTACAGAGATTCAAACCAAGGGAATGAGGAACCTGCTGAAAGAAATAATTACAGAAAACTTTCCAGAAATAAAAAAGGAAACGGATATACAAATTGTAGATGCATACAGGACACCGAGCACACAAAATCACAGTAGACCAACGCCAAGACACATTGTTATGAAGATATCCAATATACAGAACAAAGAGAAAATACTAAAAGCTGCAAGAGAAAGGAGGCAGATTACATTCAGGGGTAAACCAATAAGGTTAACAACGGATTTTTCATCACAGACGCTGAAAGCGAGAAGATCCTGGAACAACGTATTTCAAACACTGAAAGACAATGGATGCCAACCAAGAATTCTGTATCCAGCAAAATTAAGCTTCAGGTACGATAACGAAATAAAAATCTTTCATGATAAACAAAAGCTAAAAGAATTTGCAGCCAGAAAACCAGCATTGCAAAGCATCTTGAGCAAAACACTACACGAGGAAGAAATGAAAAACAATAACCAAAACCATCAGTGGGAAGTGCCTCTATAAAGACAGAGGGCGGGGGGAAAGCTAACCATGGAGAAACAAACTAAATTTAAAAAAAAAAAAAAAAGAAGATAAATAATCAAACATGGCTGGAAGTACAAACCATATATCAATAGTAACTCTAAACATTAATGGCTTAAACTCTCCAAAAAAGCGACATAGGCTGGTAACATGGATTAAAAAAACAAATCCAACAATATGCTGCCTCCAGGAGACACATCTGATTGGAAAAGACATACACAGGCTGAAGGTGAAAGGTTGGGAAAAAATATACCATGCACACGGTCCTCGTAAGCAAGCAGGGGTGGCCATCCTCATATCGAATAAAATTGACTTCAAGACTAAATTAATCAAAAGGGATAAGGAAGGACATTATATACTGTTAAAAGGAACCATTCACCAACAAGACATAACAATTATCAATATTTATGCACCAAATAATGGTGCTGCGACGTTCATAAAACAAATTCTCCTCAAGTTCAAGAATCAAATAGACCACAACACAATAATTATGGGTGACTTCAACACACCTCTCTCACAATTGGACAGATCCTCCAAACAAAAGCTGAATAAAGAAACTATAGAACTCAATATCACAATCAACAACCTAGACTTAACTGACATATATAGAATGTATCAACCATCATCAAGTGGATATACTTTTTTCTCAGCAGCACATGGATCCTCCTCAAAAATAGACCATATATTATGCCATAGGGCAACCCTCAGTAAATATACAGGGGTGGAGATAATACCATGCATTTTATCTGATCATAATGGAATGAAACTGGAAATCAATGATAAAAGACGGAAGGAAAAATCCTACATCACATGGAAAATGAACAATATGTTACTGAATGATCAATGGGTTACAGAAGACATAAAGGAAGAAATCAAAAAATTCTTAGAGATAAATGAAAATACAGACACAACATATCGGAATCTATGGGACACAATGAAAGCAGTTTTAAGACGGAAATTCATCGCTTGGAGGTCATTCCTCAAAAAAAGGAAAAACCAACAAATAAATGAGTTCACACTTCATCTCAAAGCCCTAGAAAAGGAAGAGCAAAACAACAGCAAATGTAGCAGAAGGCAAGAAATAATTAAAATCAGAGCGGAAATCAATGAAATTGAAACAAAAGAAACTATTGAAAAAATTAACAAAACTAAAAGTTGGTTCTTTGAAAAAATAAATAAGATCGACAGACCCTTAGCCATGCTAACGAAGAGAAAAAGAGAGAGAACTCAAATCACTAACATACGGGATGAAAAAGGCAATATCACAACAGACACTACAGAAATACAGAAGACAATTAGAAATTATTTTGAAAACCTATATTCCAATAAAATAGAAGATAGTGAAGACATTGATAAATTCCTTAAGTCATATGATTTGCCCAGACTGAGTCAGGAGGATACTCACAACTTAAACAGACCAATAACAATAGATGAAATAGAAGAAGCAATCAAAAGACTTCCAACCAAGAAAAGCCCAGGACCGGATGGGTATACAGCAGAGTTTTACAAAACCTTTAAGGAAGAATTAATACCAATACTTTTCAAGTTATTTCAGGAAATAGAAAAAGAAGGAGCTCTGCCAAATTCATTCTATGAGGCCAACATCACCCTGATTCCGAAACCAGACAAAGACACCTCAAAGAAAGAAAACTACAGACCAATATCTCTGATGAACATAGATGCAAAAATCCTCAATAAAATTCTGGCGAATCGGATACAAAGGCACATCAAAAAAATTGTGCACCATGATCAAGTAGGATTCATCCCTGGGATGCAAGGATGGTTCAATATACGGAAATCAATAAATGTTATTCACCACATCAATAGACTTAAAAATAAGAACCATATGATCATCTCAATAGACGCAGAAAAAGCATTCGACAAAGTACAGCATCCCTTTATGTTCAAAACATTAGAAAAACTAGGGATAACAGGAACTTACCTCGACATTGTAAAAGCTATCTATGCTAAGCCTCAGGCTAGCATCATTCTCAACGGAGAAAAATTGAAGGCATTCCCCCTAAAATCTGGAACAAGACAGGGATGCCCTCTATCACCACTTCTATTCAATATAGTTCTCGAAACACTGGCCAGAGCAATTAGACAGACGAAAGAAATTAAAGGCATAAAAATAGGAAAGGAAGAACTTAAATTATCACTATTTGCAGATGACATGATTCTATACCTAGAAGACCCAAAAGGGTCTACAAAAAAACTACTAGAACTAATAAATGAATTCAGCAAAGTGGCAGGATATAAAATCAACATGCATAAATCAAAGGCATTTCTGTATATCAGCGACAAAACTTCTGAAACGGAAATGAGGAAAAACACTCCATTCACAATATCCTCAAAAAAAATAAAATACTTGGGAATCAACCTAACAAAAGAGGTGAAAGATTTATATAATGAAAACTACAAAACCCTAAAAAGAGAAGTAGAAGAAGATCTTAGAAGATGGAAAAATATACCCTGTTCATGGATAGGCAGAACTAACATCATCAAAATGGCGATATTACCAAAAGTTCTCTATAGGTTTAATGCAATGCCAATCAAAATCCCAACGGCATTTCTTGTAGAAATGGATAAAGCAATCATGAAATTCATATGGAAAAATAAAAGACCCAGAATAGCAAAAGCAATTCTAAGCAGGAAGTGCGAATCAGGCGGTATAGCGATACCAGACTTAAAACTATATTACAGAGCAATAGTAACAAAAACAGCATGGTACTGGTACCAAAACAGGAGGGTGGACCAATGGTACAGAATAGAGGACACAGAGACTAATCCACAAAGCTACAACTATCTTATATTTGATAAAGGAGCTAAAAGCATGCAATGGAGGGAGGATAGCATCTTCAACAAATGGTGCTGGGAAAACTGGAAATCCATATGCAACAAAATGAAACTGAATCCCCTCCTCTCGCCATGCACAAAAGTTAACTCAAAGTGGATCAAGGAGCTAGTTATCAAATCAGAGACTCTGCGTCTGATAGAAGAAAAAGTTGGCTCCGATCTACATATTGTAGGGTCGGGCTCCAAATTCCTTAATAGGACACCCATAGCACAAAAGTTGATAACAAAAATCAACAAATGGGACTTACTTAAACTGAAAAGTTTTCTCTCAGCAAGAGAAACAATAAAAGAGGTAAATAGGGAGCCTACATCATGGGAACAAATTTTTACTCCTCACACTTCAGATAGAGCCCTAATATCCAGAGTATACAAAGAACTCAAAAAATTAAACAATAAGAAAACAAATAACCCAATCAACAAATGGGCCAAAGACCTGAACAGACACTTCTCAGAGGAGGACATACAATCAATCAACAAGTACATGAAAAAATGCTCACCATCTCTAGCAGTCAGAGAAATGCAAATCAAAACCACCCTAAGATACCATCTCACTCCAGTAAGATTGGCAGCCATTATGAAGTTAAACAACAACAAGTGCTGGAGAGGATGTGGGGAAAAGGGTACTCTTGTACATTGCTGGTGGGACTGCAAACTGGTGCGGCCAATCTGGAAAACAGTATGGAGACTCCTGGGAAAGCTGGGAATAGAACCACCATTTGACCCAGCTATTGCCCTTCTTGGACTTTTCCCTGAAGACCTTAAAAGAGCGTACTACAGGGATACTGCTACATCGATGTTCATAGCAGCACAATTCACAATTGCTAGACTGTGGAACCAACCCAGATGCCCTTCAATAGATGAATGGATAAAAAAAATGTGGCATTTATACACCATGGAGTATTACGCAGCACTAAAAAATGACAAAATCATAGAATTTGCAGGGAAATGGATGGCACTAGAGCAGATTATGCTTAGTGAAGCTAGCCAATCCCTAAAAAACAAATACCAAATGTCTTCTTTGATATAATGAGAGCAACTAAGAACACAGCAGGGAGGAAGAGCAGGAAGAAAAGATTAACATTAAACAGATACATGAGGTGGGATGGAAAGGGAGAGAAAAGGAAAATTGCATGGTAATGGAGGGAGACCCTCATTGTTATACAAAATTACATATAAGAGGTTGTGAGGGAAATGGGAAAATAAACAAGGAGAGATATGAATTACAGTGGATGGGGTAGAGAGAGAAGATGGGAGGGGAGGGAGGGGGGATGGTAGAGGATAGGAAAGGTAGCAGAATACAACAGTTACTAATAGGGCATTATGTAAAAATGTGGATGTGTAACCGATGTGATTCTGCAATCTGTATTTGGGGTAAAATTGGGAGTTCATAACCAACTTGAATCTAATGTATGAAATATGATATGTCAAGAGCTTTATAATGTTTTGAACAACCAATAAAAAAAATTTAAAAAAAAAAAAAAAAAAAACAAATGTGGTAAAATGTTAACTGACAAACCTGGGAAAAGGGCATATATGTGAGTTCTCTGCACTATTCTTACAACATTAATGTAAGCTCTCAAATTATTTTAAAATTAAAAGATACAAATGTTAAAAGTAACAAGACTAGTTGGTGAAGAAAAGTACCTTCACTAGACAGCTCTCCAAGTCCTACATCTTCCTGCTCCATGAACAGCTTTGACCCAATGAGATAGGGTAAAGGACGATCAATGTATAGATCCTACAAGAAGTGAAAGGGAACAGCCATTAAACACTTATGTTGAAAAATAAAATCAAGTGTTTCACTGGACATCCAATTCCATCTGACTAACCCAAACAAGCTGCCTAATAAAAGCAGAGAATAAGAAACACCGCAGAATTTGAAAAGAAGAAAAATCACTGGTTTTAAAAATGTTAAATTCTAGGTAAAGATGGCAAGTAAAGTTGAATCCTCCCCAAGCACCTCATTAACAAAATGGAAAAACCCTGCAAAAAGTTACCATCAGTAACCAAATGAGGAAAAGGATACGATCTCATAGTAAAATGTGAAAAAGGAGGACCAAGGAAAGAAACTTCTGGGGAGCTTTGATGAGTCCTACCCCAGACTCCCTCCTCTAGTTAGCCAAAAAAAAAAAAAAAAAAAAAATGCATTTGTGTATGTGAACTCCAATTCAAATCTCACCTCTGCATTTGGTTATTTCTTCAGCATGCTTCTTTCCAAATTTAGGGCTATTACTTATGATTCTCAAAATGTATGTTTTTTTATGTATTAAAGCAGTCCTGGTGAGTCAAAACGCTTTAAATATGTAAATGTATGTTATATTTTAATTTATAAGGCACTTAGTGCCACAAATACTCTCTCAAAATCAATATGGCAACCTACTTTGTATACCACTGTGTAACTCCTGTTGCCACATTATCTCCTTTAACAATCCAAGGAAAAAAAGAGTAAGGCAATAAACTAAAGGCTAAGAGGAAGCCTGTTCAGTAATGCTCATAGTGGATTTACTTGTAATAGCCCAAATCAAGAAACAATCCAAATGCTCTTTGAACCCATCTACAGTCATCCATAGCACAAGCTACAGAATCTCTACTTCTAATGAGGCTCCCAATCCTAACCTCAATTCAAACCTCATCTCTGCCCTAAAGATTATTGGGAGAGTGGATTGGGGAGATGTTGATCCAAAAGAACAAAATTTCAGTATGACAGGAGGAATGAGATCAAGAGATCCATGGTACAACATGGTAACTACAGTTAATAACAACGTATTGTGTTTCACAATAGCTAAATTGTGGATCCAACCTAGATACCCTTCAGTAGATGAATGGAGAAAGAAAATGTGGTAAATATAAACAATGGAATATTACTCAGCATTAAAAGAGAATAAAATCATGGCATTTGCATGTAAATGAATGGAATTGGAAAATAAAATGCTAAGTGAAGTAAGCCAATCCCAAAAAAACAAATGCTGAATGTCTTCTCTGACACAAGGATGCCAATTCATAATGGGAACGGGTGGGGAAGAGCATGGGAGGAATAGACAAAATTTAGATAGGGCAAAGGCAAGGGAGGGGGAGGGGGTAGAGGCAGAAAAGACGATGGAATAAGATGGACATCATTACCCTAAGTACATGTATGAAAACAAGAATGGTGTGGCTCTACTTTGTGTTCAATCAGAGATATGAAAAATTGTATTCTCTTTGTGTAATATGAATTGAATTGCATCCTGCTGTCATATATAACTAATTAGAATAAATAAAATTTAAAAATTAATTATAAAAAAGCAATGTACTCTGTTTGAAAATCACTGTGAGTGTATATTTTAGATGTTCTTAGTACAAAAGGTTACTATGTGAGGTATGTGTCAATTAATTAGCTCAATTAAGTCATTCCACAATATATACATACTTCAAAACAATATGTTGTACAAGATAAATACATATAAAATTCTGTCAATTAAAAATAAGTAAAACTTCTGAAGTTTAAAAAAAAAAAAAAAAAACCCAACTCAAATCTAATCTTCACCTTAACATGCCAGTCAGAGGTCAATTCCCTCTCAGAGCACTTATGATGGGTACTCATGTAAATACCTCCTCTCTCCCACCAGAACGTAATGAGCACCTTAGAGCAGGAGCCACACTTTGCTTGCACCTCCCACCCTGGCAAGCAGCCTTTTACCTCTTAAGTGATCAATGCTTGTTTTTAAAGCAAGTCTTTCTGATGAGTTCAATGTAAGTAACATACTCACTTTCTACAGATGGAGTCTATGTCATACTAGTCCTGTACCCAAGTAAAGACCCCAAGACATATCAGTAAATGTGGTACAACATTAAGTACCTGAATCAAATGTCTTTACCTTAGGTTCAAGGATCAGTTCCACCCGCTCATTAGCATCATCTTCTTCAGAGTCCGAGTTGCCTGCTTTTATGTCAAGTTGCTCAAATGCACTATCCAATACTTGCAAACCATAGTTCACAGCCTCCTGGACTTTAGGAATCAGATCTACTTCTTTCTGTTCCCTGGTCTTCTCCTATAAACAAAATACTATTTAGTGTGAATGTTTAATGTATTTATATCACCATAAGAAAATACTGTTAATGTTCTCTAAAGCCTAGCCTCATGTGAAAACTAAAAATCTAAATTAAAAATGTTAACAAAATTCAAGATTCTGACCAATGCCTTAACTCTCTTTGCAACTTTCTGGGCATGCATCAAACCACCTAAGATCCTGGAGTTCCAAGCTTTCCATCTACAACCAAGTTCAAATACTGGATGATGGTTCAGTTAATAAGTTGTGTGAAAGTACCCTAACAATTAATGGCATGTCACTTCCCCACTGCTGGAGGAATACAGGGCCTAGATTTTGAGATTCACCCCATGAGTATATTCCTTAGTTAATGGTCCCTTGGCCAATTTTAGGAGCTAAAATTTAGACGGAAACACTCTAGACTGAGATGTCACTTTTCAATTATAGTTTAAAAGAATTTTTTTAAATGAGTAATTACCATTGATTTATAAATTTGCTTCACATCAAGGAAAGATCAGTTTCATCTCTACTATATATCACACAGAACAATGCTTTCCCTCAAAACAAGTCTGTCCATATCGCCAACCTGCTGAAACTTTTCCACAGGTCTCTACTTACAACAGCTCTCAATGGCAGTCCCCTTGTACACAAGCACATGTGTTATCAGTTGTGAGAAATATTAAAAATATATTTAATAATTTTCTCTTCTCAAAATATTAACTCTAGAAGGAACCAAACCATACAGCGCTGTTTTGAAGGCCAAAGGAGAAAACCCTATGAGTATTTTTTATCTTTTACCTCAAGTATTGAAGTCTTTGTACTGAGTCTGTGAAAACATGTTCATGAAACATACAGTGCTTTTTCTTATTTATATTTGCAGTGCTGGGGATTAAACCCAGGGCTTCATGCATGCTAAGCTAGTGCTCTACCACCAAGGTATACCTCCTTCCCCTGTGGCTTTTAGAAAATAGTTCACTAAATACCCATTTTTCATATTTAATGCTGACTTGGTATAACCAAATACTATTCCACTTAAATGGTTAGCAAGTCCTTGAGTACCATTAGAAATAAAATATCTTGATTATCCTAAAAATCCTGGGAATAGTCAGACTGTAGCTAGTTTGTAATATCCTCTTATAAACTAACAGCTTCACCTGTTACAAGCAATAGCTACTGACAGAGCACTAACCTTTTCAAGTGATTTACATTTTCTGAGTAAGCTAGAGCTCCCTGAAAGCTACTCCCATAATAAATGTTCCCCCACTCCCCTGTGCCTTCCTGGGTGGGACACAAGAGGAAGCAACTCAGCCAGAGTACTAGGAAATCAGTATGGCCCAGAACTTCTTAGTGCCAATAATACCTATATGTGAGACCAGGCAGGAAGAATGTTTATGCACTTTCTGTTACTATGAAGCCACAGGAAATAAGGCAAGAACCACTGATCCTTGGCCTTTTGGCCTATTTTCTGAAGCCCTCCAGCAACAAGTTCTTACCCGTTTTCCTTCCTCTTTGCTTGGCCACCAGTTAATTTATATATGTGAATGTCCATGTATGTATGTGTTTATGTGACTGCAAAAACAGGCTTTCACATAATTCTGGCCTGAAATACCAGACACATCATCAACTCCGAACTCTGGCTCATGGCATTCTCTTGCTGAAAAGCCCCACCCACCACCTCAAAATATGGCCCTTCTTTCTTCCTCCAGCCAAAGTCTCATCCTTCCTATCTCTACCCACCAGTACTTTCTCTTCTGAACTTCCAAAACAGTTAAGCCACACAGCTTAGAAACTCTAGGTCCTGTGGTCACCAGTACTATAACCTCTTGAGAGAAAGTATCCTAAGTTAACGGCCACCTGCAGTATTACTACAGAGTCAGTAACTGTTCACTGTGCAATTCCTATTCTCTATACTAACGCTTCCTATAGCAGTCAAGAAGCACTCAATTGTGGGCAGACTAGACCAATATTTATCTTATTAACATTTTGATCTGGTAGTAATAAACATCAAAGCAATCATGAGAGATAGAGAAACTCAGTCTTCAAATAACTCACCTATGTAATATTGTACTTTAGAGGTGGCAAATTTGGGCTGGGGATGTAGCTCAGTGGTAGAGCACATGCCTGAAGTCCTAGATTTGATCCCTAACACCACCAAAAAAAAAAAAAAATCGGCTAACTCCTAACCCCATGGCCTAGTTCTGCAAATGTAAGAATAAATTCTACATTTTTAAAAGGCTGAAAGAGAAAGAGGAAAAAGAGGAAAAGGAGAGGAGGAAGGGGAAGAGAAGAGACAGACAACTAAGTGGCTTATAAAACCTCCATATTTGCTACTGCCATTTACACAAAAGGTTTGCTGATCTCTGCTCTATTTTTATACCAGAATTCAGGAATTCAATCTACATATTACTTAATATGCTAAGTTTCGGAAACAAATAAAAAAGTTCATTTGGGCTACCTTTCGAGAGAAATCTCTCCCACTTCCCCAGTATCCTTCCCCATACTAGATATCTAACAAATCTCTATCAATCTTCTACTCTAAGCTGGGAACTTAATCAAAGAGTTTTAAAAAGTACCTGTTCTGTTTTTTCTGCCTCAATCTTGAGCACTGGCTCCTCCACTTCTTCATCATACACACGCTGAATATGAAAGCAAATTCAGTTTTAAAAGATCAAAATATTATTTGAAATAAATTGTAATATAAGAATTCAATATACAGTAACAAAAAGACAAGGATGAGGAAGGAAATGGTTATCAACAATGGCTGGAGCCACTACCAATGGGTCATAGACAAACAGCAAAGAACAATCATCAATTTACACAATTTTAAAAAATGACAAAAAAATATAAAGTAAGTTCAACTTCATGGTTGACTAGAGTAGTAAAAACAGTAAGAAATCAGTTTTTGCATCCTTTTGTTTCACCAGACACACAATGCTGATGGGCAGTGATTAGGTACTCTCTCCAAAGCAACTGAGAATGACAACTGGAATAACTTAAAAACTAAGTAACAAGATCTTTAACATGTAGAGCGATGGATATGGTAAAGTTAAAATTTCTTTTCATCCTGTTGTTTAAAATGCCAATAAATTTTTATTATTCCACATACATGAGAACAGAGAGATAAAATCAACCAATGACTTGCCAGAAGGCTGGGTATATAAATGACCTTTACTGCATGGCCAGGCAAGAATCTCTTTTCCAAGACAAACAGATTACTTTGCCAACTCACTGTGATTTCCTTTTTTTATTAAACTTTTCTTTTAACCACCAAAGTACAGCATAATTAAGGATAGATACTCAACTGGTAAAGTTTATGCAAATATTCCAAAATATAAAAAACTCAAATTTGAGACACTTGAGAGATGATGAAAAAAAAGTCAATAAATATAAGATGATGAAAATGTTCTGGAATTTGTTGTCCATGGTTATAAAACTTTATGAATAAACTAAAAGCCTCTGAACTACATACATTTAAGAAGAATGAATCTCATGGTATATGAATTAACTCCCTTCCTACCCCAACCTAACCCTGGGAATAACCAACTTAAACTTTGAGCACATGCTCCTGTTTCCTAAGGTCCTTAAACACAGACTAATGCACACATTCAGTTTACCTACCCTTCTTGTTTTTAAATAAAAACACACTTATACTATAGATTTATTTGCCCTCTCTTTCACTTAACTTTCTCGTAAACTACATTGTAGGTCAATATATATAGATTTGATTCAAACCTTTCAATTAGTCAAAAGCTTTCCACTGGTGAATATTAATATTTCCCAAGTTTGCTATTGTAAACAAAGCTGCTTTAAACACACACACACACACACACACACACACACACACACTTTCCTAGGCAATAATTATTTCTATAGGCTTCTCAAAATAGCATTGTCAAATAAAAAGACAAAACTTTTCTAATCTTAACAGCATTTCTAGATTACTATGCATGAATGTGTCACAAGTCACTTTCACCACCAGTGTACCCATCTACATATATCCCAAGCCTTTGGCAGCAGTGGATACTGCCCATCTTTTAAAAAATAACCTACCAATCTGATCAAATAACATTGATTTTTAAATATAACCTCTGACTCCAGAATTCTATTTCTTAAATCTTAGTTTCAAGAAAAATATTCCTGACTGCAAACAACCGGATGCTCATGGCATCACAATTTATAGTGGAAAGTCACAAACACCAGAATTACTATGCAATTCCAATCAAATGTTTATAGGATTTCTGTGGAATGAAATAGTAATACAAACTACATTTTGAGGTCTCAAATTTACATGGCAAATTAGAAAGTTAAAGAGAAATATGACAATTATGAATAAAGTTGTGGGGAATTGCTGCATTGTGATGGATTAGAAATCTGTGGTATTTAAGATAATTTTACTAGCATACAGCAGAGAAAACCAGAAAGGCCTCAATTATGTGAAAGCCTGATTTTATAGTCACATAAACACACACATTCATTCACATAAATCAACATGATAATAACAACTACACAATAAAGGTTGTCTATACAAAAGAAAAATGGAATTGCTAATACTATACATATATGTACTCACACATACCCACTCAAGATAGTTTCTCCAGTTATAAAAAATTAAAAGGCTGGGATACAAAAAAGTCCTCACCCAAAATGTTTAGCACTCATGAGAAAAAGGGGGTAGATTGGTATCTTTGAAGCAAAATGGCAAAATATTAAGATCTATTAACCAATGCTAGGTGCTGTATATTCTTAACATTTGTTGTTGTCTGTATTTTTTATATATATTAAATAGTTCATTAAAATCGGATATTGGATAATTGTTAAATAAATTATGATAATCATAGAAGGGAGTAGGAATAAAAATTAAGTTCACAAAAGTCTCAAAGATGTGTTAAAATGTTCATAAGTTAATATTAAAAAAAATCAGGCTGCAAATGCACACACAGTCATCTAGAACAGGTCAAAGTTGAAACAAATAAAAGACTAGAAAGGCTGGGGGTGGTGGCACAGACCTGTCTGAAATCCCAGGATCACAAGTTCAAAGCCAGCCTTGGCAATTTAGAGAGGCTCTAAACAACTCAGGGACACCCTACCTCAAAATAAAAAAATAAAAAGGGCTGGGGATATGGCTCAGTGGTTAAGCACACCAGGGTTTAATCTCCAGTTTAAAAAAAAAAAAAAAACACATCAAAATGCTCAAAGGTTAATTAATCTGGGCTGGTGGAATTATAACGAATCTTCTTTTATGGATTTATCTTCTGTAAGCCTATTGTCTGCATGGAAATGCATTTACAATATACATTTCCATCTGATGAAATTTCAGATAATTTTTCTTTTTCTTACTTTTCTTTCCTATATCTTTCTTTATTGTTTTTTTTTCCTTGATGGTTAAAAAGAACATCTATTTTTATAACAAGTCAAACATGCTATAATGTCACTATAGAGGAAACACAACATTGTAATTAAAACTTTTTCTTATTTATACAAAGATATAAAAGATTTCAGTGATCATAATTAAATTAGCCCAGGGGTGCTTAACCACTGAGCCACATCCCCAGCTTTTTATATTTTATTTAGAGAAAGGGTCTCATAGTTGTTTAGGGCCTTGCTAAGTTGCTAAGGCAGGCTTTGAACTCATAATCCTCCTGCCTCAGGCTCCTGAGCCACTGGGATAATGTAAAATTTTTTTAAGTTATCATTTCAGATTACTTAAATTTCCTACAATTAATTGCTAAAATAATTCTGGATTCTAGACTATGAAGAAAGAATACAGAAAAATATGAATTCAATTTATATGCTGATTTTTTTCACTGCTCCTCTGTGATCAAAATTTTCTTACTCTTAATTCTAACTTTATTTTTATTTTCCCCCATCTGTTTTCCTTTTCTTTCCACATTTTTTACTGGTGTATTATAGTTGTACATAAAGATGGGATTTGTTGTTACATATTTGTACACACAGACAATATAACAACATAATGTGGCCAATATCACTCCCCAGCCCTTCCCCTCTCCCTCCCCCCTCCCACCCTCTATTCCCTTTCCTCTTTTTTCTTGGGGTGTTTGGGATGGAAACCAGGATCTTGTGTGTGCTAGGCCAGTACTTTACCACTGGGCCACATTCAAAGCCCTAATTTTTTTTTTAACCCCTAATTGCTTCATAAAAATCAGAAATTGGGCCAGGCATGATGGCTCATGCCAGGGCTGTAATCCCAGAGGCTCAGGAGGCTGAGACAGGAGGATTGTGAGTTCAAAGCCAGCCTCAGCATTGGTGAGGCACTTAGCAACTCAGTGAGACCCTTCTCTGAATAAAATACAAATTGGGCTGGGGATGTGGCTCAGTGGTTGAGTGCCCCTGAGTTCAATCCCCAGTACCAATAAATAAATAAATAAAATCATAAATTGGTAATAATTTTCAGACAGAAACAGAAAAATTAAATCTTAAAATGAGACTTTAATTAAGATAGAGGTTACTTCAGAATTTAAATACCAAGAACAGCACCAATACCTATTTTTTCCCCCGTCACTAAAACTACCTTACAAGACATAAAAAACACAATGAGTAAAGACCTAAAACTTGGGATCTTTTGAGCACAAGCAGTCTATGCATTTCAAGTACTTAGTACACAGCAAATAATCAATGCCAATTTCCTTCACCCTTCCCAGGCTGAACTCACAGTTTTATGTGCTTTGTGGCCATTTTACAATCAGATAGCCATACCCAGAACTGTTAGATATCTTTGGTATTTCCCCTCTAGGAGATGTTCCTCAACTGGGAAGAGAGAATAAAAGGTGAAGGTAGGACCATGGAAAACTGAAACAACTAGGGATTTTTTTTTTTTTTTAACAGATGCATAGTTTAGGTATTAAGTGTCCACAAGAATGTTTAGAGGTGAAATGATTGGGTTTTAAGAGTTTTAACCTAATCAGTGCATTAATCCCCTCATAGGGATTAACTAGGTGATAACATAATGGTAGGGTATGGCTGGAGGAGGTGGGTCACTGAAGTGTACCTTTGGGGGTGAATATTTTGACATCAGTGTGAGAAGAACTCTTTCTCTGCTTCTTGGTGGCCATGTCCTGACCTACATTCCTCCACCACATTCTCCTGCCTCACCTTGAGCCCAGAGCAATGGATCCAGTCTTCTATGGAATGAGACCTCTGAAAACATAAGCCTCAAAGTAAACTTTCCTTCTCTAATTGTTCTTGTCAGGTCTTTTGGTCACATCAGCAAAAAAGTTAACTAAAACAGATTATACACAGACCTTGGTTCTTTCATTTGTTCATTCATTCAAATATTATGAATATTCAAATATTCATAAGAGTCCCTATGTATCAGGCTTGTGATGAACCCTACTAATATAACATTTAGCAGGGGAGTTCAGCTCGTAAGATACCATCAATAACATTAAAATTAGGATTATTGGAAGTCTGTGATGCTTGAAGAGCTTTTATCCAGGGGATATGCCTAGAACAGAGGGTCAAAGAAGACGTAATAATTGAGCCAAGAAGTGGAACACAGATATCAATCAAAGGACAGAGGCACATGGATGATTGTAAGCCAAGGCCTGATGATAACATGGCACTGGGTACCTTCAAGAAATAAAAGGTTGCAGCATCAAAAGCAAGGGATATCATCATTTAAAATAAGACAGGTCCAGAAGGCAGCCTGTAAGGAAGTTTGGGGCAATAAGGCTCTGAGACATGCATTGGCCTAATTGCTGAGTTTCAGTAACCACATCTACTTCCTCAAAAGAAAGGGTGAAAAGGAGGGGGGGGAAATGACTCCAAAAATAGCATTTATAAATTAACAGGAAGATGACCTGAAAAATTAATTTAGGTTTCATTTTGGAACAGAAAATTTTAATTTTACAAATCTAAAAATTTTAAAACAATGGACTTTAAAAAATTCTCCTTTAAGATAGCTTCTAAAAAAACAGAAGTCATTATAGGCAAATACATGCATGAAACTCCTAAACTGACAGATTAGTGAAACTTTAAGAATTAGAGCTGTTCTTCTGCAGACATTTAAGCATAGTAGAAATAAGGCTACAGAAAATAAACACCATTTTTTTGAAGAAAATAATTGGGTCATCTTTTGATTAGACACCAAAACACTGGCCAGTGTTAATTAGCAAGAATCCTTCAGGATTCCCTCTTGAGCCTTTACTAAAGGTACTAATTTTTCTTGCCCTAGAAAGTCTTGATGGTTCTCGCCCTAGAAAGTCCAGAATGTTTCACAAACTCTAAAGTGTAGTCTGCAAATGCACTGCTGTTTCTAAGGTTAATTAATAAAATGCAGAAACCTATCAGACTCTGAATAAATGTTTCCAATGAACTACCACAAAACGAAATGGTACCACCATTCTAGCCTGAATAGCAATATATAAGTAGTACAAAATATAAGGGTTGGGGGGGAAAAAACACAATAGAAGCCAGATCACTGCCACAGGTATTATCAGCAAATAGACTTTTTTGAAGTTTTATTAAGCAATAGCTGTTCCCTCAACATCATCAGCTGCCTGTCACAAATGCAAAGAACCTCTAACATGTTTTTAGGCATTACAGGAAGGTTAAGAAGCATTTATACTTGATAGTGACACCAAACAGGAATACTGACAGAAGAACGGAGTGGAAGAGGCATAGGACATAACATTAAAGGAATGAAGAGATGGATGGAAAATAGAATCCACAAAAGTAAACAGAAATAATGAACTGTAATCAAGACAAAACAAAAACCACACACACAAAAAAATCCACAAAACCTATACCATGGAAAACTCTGAATCAAAGAAAACTTCAACAGAAAAGAAAAGCTAGAGAAAAAGGGACACCTGAAGACAGTGACTCGGAAAATAAACTTATGAGGGCTGGGGATGTGGCTCAAGCGGTAACGCGCTCGCCAGGTGTGGGGCACTGGGTTGGATCCTCAGCACCACATAAAAGTAAAATAAAGATGTTGTGTCCACTGAAAACTGAAAAATATATATTAAAAAATTCTCTCTCTCTCTCTCTCTCTCGCAAAAAAAAAAAAAAAAAAGTTTAAAAAAAAAGAAAAGAAACTTATGATACTCCTCACCCCTTCTCCCCACAAAAGACTCATCAGGTACCAATCCAGGACTAGGCTGGTATAGGAATGCCAAGTATAAAAAAAAGCTTCTAAATCTATTTCCTTGCTCAGTCTAGAGCTGTAACATTGACTGAAAGAAGTGCTGAGCACCTGATATAGCAAAAAAGGTACACAAAGAAAGTAATGACAATAATTAGAAGGACAAATTCGGCATTATGAAAGTGACTGGGCAGTGTTCACCAGGAAAGTAGAGTCAGCTTCTAGGCTGACTGTTACTACTATTACTATTATTAAGGTTTTGTGTCCAGGGCCTCATGCATGTTAAACAAGTGCTATACCACTGAGCCACATGCTTGGCCCATTAAGCTGACTCTTTTTAGTTGTAGTTGCAGTTTAGTTTAGTTGGACACAATACCTTTATTTTATTTATTTATTTTTATGTGGTGCTGAGGATCGAACCAAGGGCCTTGCACGTGCTAGGCAAGTGCTCAACTGTTGAGCCACAACTCCAGCCCTTATCTGACTCTTTTAGTCAAAGAATGCTCAGAACCAAGCAAGGACATTCAGTGTAGAAAATAACTAGAGGCTGAGCACCTCTAATCCAAAAATCTAAAATCCAAAATTTTTTGAGCACTGTAATGACCCTCAAAAAATTCTGGATTTTAGCACATTTCAGAATAGGGATGCTAACCTGATAGTCTATGCAAATATCCCAAAATCTAGAAAACCCTGAAACCTGAAATACATGTAATCCTAAGCATTCCAGACAAGGAAGTTTGAATGCCATTATATTTCAAACTCATGAGTTTGCCATTAAGAAAAATAGCTGGCAAAGAGATTTCTAATACCTTTATGAAGATCTTTATTCATATATAGTTCCCCAAAAAAGGTTAGAAGTAGCATTTCAACCTGAGCTACTGAAATATGCACAAATACACACTGCATAAGTTGCCTGCATGGCATTACTGGTATTGTTTTAATCCTAATTGAAGGACTTTTATAATCTTGCAATTTTGGAAATCTTTTCTATTGCGTCACATTTAATGATTGCAGGAGATAGTCTATTTTAATAATTATCTTTTCACAAATTAACAATCTCTGAGAAACAGATAAGCTTAGGTAAGCTTCATCTCTTAACAGTCTCTCCTTTACTCCACTTGGCTCCACAGACACCTACATCCTCCTTTTCATTCTAGAATTATACTATTTACCAAGATAAAATTTCTGTCTAAGTTATCTATATTCCTAATATCTGACAGAAACTCAATATATAAACCAAAATCACTTGTGGTTTAGGTGAAATTCAGTAACCTGTTTGTAGCTATACTTACAGAATGTGCCATAATGGACCTTGAGTATCATATAACTTAGCACAACTGTCATCTGCTCTGAAAACTAAAAAAGGATAGAAAGACTAGAAAATAAGGACATTTTATCATTAGATTTCTTTTGAAGATGTGGAAAAAGACCCAAACTTTACTAATAAAAAAAGCAGGCAATAATCCTAAAGAAAGAAGCTTCAGTTACCCATAACCACTGTTCACCAAAGTTTAGGAGGGTATCTAAAATTACAATAGCGCTTGCTCCCCAAAAAGGTATTATTTATAAGTATTATGTAAACAACTCACATTCTCAATGAACTGGGTATTGGACAGCATAAGGAAATCATTGAAGACATTATGCAAGCGACAATCAGTGGCTTTAGTCTCCCGAATTAGTCCATCCACTTGTTTCTTGATTTCATGGGTCCGAGAGATAGTCTGTTGTGAGAATTCCTGTAGAAACTGTAGTAGCTATTTTCAAAATAAACATAGTAGTATCAATATTATGTGCATCTACTCTGTGTGCCAAAACGAAAAAGAACCCACAACCTTTCACTTTTGAGTGTTGAAACATAAAGGAAAGATGCTTTTGAAAGATCTAGAAGCATTAAAAATAAAACATTAAGAAAGCTCATCAAAGAAGTGAGCCAATGGACACTTGCTATCCCATTTCTGGAGGAATTTTAAAGTCCCGTTTGGTTGTCATTCTACAGGGATCACTGATGAAGCATAACAAAACACTCAATCCAAAAATCCTATTCATGTGGGACTCTGGAATTACAACTGACCTTTCTGGGTCCCAAGACTTAAGGATGTCACTCAAGGATATTCATATAGTGGCTTGTCTCTTGCCACTCAGTCCAGATCTCAACCCAGAATAAGGCCATAGCAATCCCCCAGCATCGCAGAAACGCATCTGCCTAATTGGAAGCAAATGCGGGCACCGCCAGGAGCCCAATGAAGGAAGACAAATCCTCATCTACGCTTTAGTCCGAATTCTGGATGGGTTGAGCCCACTGATTTGCCCTTCTCCTTCGGACCTGGGGATTGTCATGGTTGGGTTTTCAAGGGCAAGGAGCAGAGAGCAGGCAGCGGGACAGCCTAGGTGCAGAGGAACAGGGACTCCAGTTCCCCGGCCTGTGCTTCACCCAGTGCGGCCCGCCTTCCCCTCCCGTCCCCAGGGCCCGCCTCTCACTCCCGCATCAGCGGCCAGCGACCAGCTCTGGCTGCTCCTGCGGATCTCCTCCACCGACCAGGGCCGCTCCCACACGGGCTCGGAGGTCGGAGCCCGCTCCTGGTCTGGGGTCGTCCGGTTCATCTGTAGCAGGAAGGACGAGAAAAGAGGCTGAGCCTGGCGGTAGAGGCCACCCCAGGGCAGCCCTACCCGGACCTGCCGCCCTCACCATCTCGGCCCGCGTCTCTGCGGGCTCCACAGGGGCAATGCCAGCACTGGTGGAGAACCTCAGAGTTCCGGAATCGAACCCCTGCAGCGCGACCCAGAAGGGGTGGAGGTGGATCACGTGACTGTGTGTCACATGACAGGGCCCACACGTGAGCGGATGTGCGACGCAGCCGGAAGGAAGCTGGGAGGGGGGTTCCAAGGAAAATTAGGCAGGCTCCATTAGGCAAAAGCGGAGATACTGAGGGTTGGGTGGACGCCAGGGGGCGCAAAAGAGATGGGGCTGGAGCCCTCTAGTGGCGGCCAAGATCAGGGCATCATTCCTGCTGCCAGCCTGGCAGGTGGAGAGGAGGGGTCCCAAGGAAGCTTGTGGAGCAACCAGCCTGGGGATTTTAAATGCTGAGTGATGTAGATGCAGGAGAAAACTTCAGTAATAGAGCTGTGCCTGTTCACTTGCTGCAAATCCACTGTCTGTGTGATGAACCCAGCCTAATTCCATCTTAAGATCGGAGCCATCTCATCAAAAAGTCATAAAAAAATCATTTCTGTTTTCTGTAAAATACTAGGATTTCTATTTGGCCTGGCCATATTTTTTTTTTTGCCTGGCCATATTTTGATGTTTTAAACTTGCTTGGAATTCCTGCCAGTGCCTGGCTTTCCCTGACCGGATAACAACCCTCTCTAAAACCTTAGTGGCACCTCATAAATCCTGGCTCCCCCTGAACCAATAACAACTCCCTCTGAAACCTCAGCAGTGTCTCATAAATTCTGATGTTGAGATCTGAATCTATTCCCTACCTTGAAATGTTAAGCCACGTAGATCATTAACCTGCTGTCTGCCTTTGTATTAGGCTTGTCAGAATCCTGTTAGCTATAAGTTCCCAAGACAGTGCCCCCCACCCCGCCTTTATAACTTTTTGTGTTATAAACCTTTTTCCTGGAGACCTGATCTCTAGCCTGGCTTAGGAAGAGACTGCCACTGGCCAGCTTTCTTTGTGTACCCAATATAGCTTGCTTTGATTTAAAATTGGAGTCCGTGGTCTTTTCTTTGCGGTGTGGCTCAACATATGATGGGTCTGGCATCCTTGCACTAAGTAAATGAAGAATCACTGGTCTACGTGGGCATCATCATGCTTCTGATGACATTCTCAGTTTCAGCTCATTCTTTTGGTGTCTGCTTTATTCTTGGCATTGCCTTAAGACTCAAGGCCACATTTATGATAGGCAAAAATCCCCTTTTAAACCATCCTTCAGTTACCAAGCTCCCTACTAGCACTCATTGAGCCAGCTATTCGATTCCCACACTTATTTGAATTTTCCTCTGCTGAGTTGTTGTTGAGCCAGACTAACTTACTTTTTAAAATAAATCTCAACTTCCGGAGCTGGGTATGTAGTTCAAGGGCAGAGCAATTTTGCCTAGTGTGCAAGGCTTAGGGTTTGATCCCTACAACAGAAAACAACAAAATAAGCATCACAAAGCAAACCAAAAACTAATTTTGTTTGTGTGTGCCCAAGGGTAGGTTATTTAACTTCTTTGAGTTTTCCTTCTCAGATTATTGAAATTGTACAGATAGATATTCTGCAGGGGTGGGATGATGTTTGTAAAACAACTAGCATTGTGCCTGCTATTTAGTGAGCATTCACCCTCAATCTTATCATTTCCCCATACAGTCCAATGCTTGGACTTTCTTTTGTGGTAACCTCAGCCTTTACCTTGTTGAGGACTTCCCAGATTGCCCCAAATGCAATTTAAGTGACTTAAGTTATTTGCTATATGTTTATACAATATTTCTCCTAAAGTATCTCATTTAAATCTGCATGTTTAGAATGGCTCCACTTACTTTAATGCTCTGCTGTTGTTGTTTGGATTCTTTAAAATTTTTTGACCAAAGGACCCACACACACATATTTTCATTTTGCACTGAGCACCACAAATTATGCAGATGATATTAAGTGGGAATGGGGTTATTTGGGCTATCTTCCCTGGGTGAACCTAGGATGAAAAGTACTGAGGGATGGAATCACAAGCTATGGTCCCTGGGACTGCTAGCTTTCTGAAAGCCAGACCTAGTAGGAGGCCAGACTTAGCAGGGAGCTACCATAACCCCAGTCCCATGGCTTTCTTTCAGTGTCTAGAGCATGTACAACAGGAAAGAAAATGTGGGGTCTTTCCAGAGGCTGTCCCAGGCACCAAATCAATGCTGTCTCATGGAATCAAGTACTAAGATTATACACCAGCTACTTCTGGATTCTAATTAATCACATAACTAATCAGTCATTGTATTAGGAATGTCAAGGGAGAAAAAGAAATAGAACCTTGTCACTTATCAGGGACGATCTTTCAAAATATTTTTCTTGATACATCTTAAATCTCTAAATTATACTTTTTTTAAAATCTCATCTCAGGGCTGGGGGTATAGCTCAGTGATAGAACATTTCCCTAAGATTCGCCTAGTTTAGTCCCCTGCACCACACACACACACCACTCCCACACACACACACCCTGTCCCTCTTTCAGATTTTTTCTTTTGGGGTGGGGGTACTGGAGACTAGACTCAGAGGCACTCAACCACTGAGCCACATCCCCAGCCCTATTTTGTATTTTATTTAGAGACAGGGTCTCACTGAGTTGCTAAGTGCCTCACCTATACTGAGGCTGGCTTTGAACTTGCTGTTCTCCTGTCTCAGCCTCCCCAGCTGCTGAGATTACAGGCATGTGCCACTGTGCCTGGATCTTTCAGAATATTTTTGTTTTCAGGAGAGTAGAGAATATCAGACAAGGACTCATGACGTCAGGAGGAAGAGATAAAGCTAAACAGATAGGGAGATGGCTCCTGGGTAACTTTTGGGCAGTACAACACAAACTGCACCTGCAGGTATTTGCTAGGACACTTACAAAAAGTCTATTTTTAAATCATGACCTACGTGACTGGGGTCCATGGCTCTCCAAGAAGGAAATATGCCTGATTGGTATTTTGATTGGAGTAAAGGCTGCATGAATACACTAAATGTGTTACCCAGAATTGTGCAAGGGGGCTTCTTTAAACCTATAGATCTATATAAACCCCTAGACAATAGCCACTCTTGGGTATCCCTGTCTTGGAACCCCACCCTCTTTAGGATCTCTGCTTTCTTTCTAATACTCTAATAAATCCTGTTACTTTGTTCCCACCCTGTATCCATAGATTTTATTCTTCAACTTCATGAAACAAAGAACACAACTCCACACTTTGTGCTACAGGTTTTCCCCCTCAAACAACAGTACAGATGCCAACAGGAAATCTCCTCTCTGCCTTGGCTGTAAATCTCAAGTCCTTTGTCAATAGATCTACATAAAGGTCACATGTTGGAAACGTGATGTTTTTAAAAGAGATGCACTTCCTTTTGTAAACTGGGTTTGACCCCAAAGGCTTTATTGTTTTTTTTTGTTTTTTGTTTTTTTTTCGGTGCTGAGGATTTAACCCAGGGGTACTTTACCACTGAGCTAAATCCCAAACCCTTTTTTTATTTTGAGAATGGGTCTAAGTTGTTTAGGGCCTTGCTGAGTTACTGAGACTGGCCTCAAACTTGTGATCCTCCTGTCTCAGTCTCCTGAGTGGATGGGATTACAAGCATGCTTCAGCACTCAACACAAGGTTTCTTAAAAGAAAATTTATGTATTGAGTATGAGACATTATTTTAGGAATTTTTCTCTGTTGAATATAGGAAAAGGATATAATTTCCTAAATGCCTATGCTTCTAAGCCTTGGAGAGGGATCTTTATAATCCCTATGACAATATGGAGTGAAAAAATATTTATGTATTTCTCTCTCTCCCCCCACCCCCTTTCCCTCTTTCTCTCAAATACACACACACACACACACACACACATACACACCCCAAATATATGTATACATTTGGTATATCTTACTTTCTTTTATTTCTTTCTTGTTCCGTGTGCTTAAATCATCTTTATCTCTTCTCTTTCTTATTTTCTTGGGCACTTGGGCCCAACTTCCCATCTTTTTAGTTTTTGTCTCTTCCTGTTTTGTGGCTACATATGGACCAGAAAAATAATTATAAAAAATGATGTGTTGTTTTGCTCAGTGCAAATGTGTTAGCCTTTTTTTATAGCAAAAGCCAGTGGGTAAAAACTTTTCCATTCCTTCACTATAGAAAACAAAACAAAAAAGTCTAACACCCTGCCTAAACTAATAACTGTTTTAAAAAGACTTCCTATTGAATTATAATGTGCCTATTAAAAAACAAATATTTTAACCGCATAAATCAATAAATTTTCATAAGTGGGACATGGCCATAAAACCAGCACTCAGATCAGAAAAAAGGATGTTACTGATTCCCCAGGAGGCCTCTTCTGCCTCCATCCAGTCTCAGCCTTCTTCTCACCCAAGGGTAACTATTGCCCAGAACTCCAATATCACAGGTTAATTTGTGTGTTTCAGAAATGGAATTAAATGTCCTAAATTTGGTTCCCTTAGGAACTGACCCAGAGACAAGGACTTTCTTTCAGGTCATTTATTTGAGAGGTACAGGGAACACTGGGTAGGGCAGGAGGTAGAAGTGAGCCAGAGAAAGGAAGGCAGCAGCCATTTAGGGTGTATTATGAAGCTAACTACCACCAGGGTGACTAGGGGTGACTCCTACAGGGAAACTCTGGAAAGTACAAAATGTGCTTTTTGGAATTATCCTGCTCCAAGAGAAAGAACTGGGCTGTTTACATACCACACCATGAGTTGTCCCATGACGTCCTTTTCTCTGTTGCGCCATCACACCCAAGATCCTGTTCTACACTTAACTGTCATGCCTTTTCAGTTTCTTTTAATCTGAGATGGTTCTTCAATGTTTATTTTTTCATGACCTTGAATACTTTTGAAAAGCCTTGCTCAGTTAATTTGTAGAATGCCATATTCTTCAAAATTTGGATTTGTCTTCATTACTGCTTTAAGGTAAAGAAACTAAGGCACAGAGCAGGTATTTTGGGTAAGGTCACAGCGCACATTATAAGTAATAGAGGAAGGACTTGAATCCAGGTCATCTGGCTCCATAGAGCTGGTTTTTAATCACTAATCTATGGCAGAGTCTTAAGATATTTAACTGAATTATTTTGCTACAAAGTAGTAGAAGCTTCTCTTATCTGGAA